GACCTACAGGGAGCTGTTGAACATTATGAAACGGCACATTGCAAGGGTTCGGGAAGACAAGAACATGGCAGCCCGTGACAAGTTTGCCACCGACTACACGACCCATGGAAAACAGAGAGCTCCCAAGCCTGCTGCTCCAGCACCTGACAAGGGTGATGACAAGAACTCCGGTGGCAGGGCAGACAAGCCTGACGCGCCTAATCCCAAGGCAAAAGCCTAAGGCAACTCCGGTATTACCATCCTCCAACCCGAAGAACCACAATGGCAAGGGTGGGAAGCCGAGATCACGATCATCGTCAATGGATAAGGCGAAGACTTTCTGTCATTACCGCTCCAACGGGCCACTGCAAACATGGTGACAGATGTCTATATAGCCATTCCCACTACCACTGGGATAATAAGAAGAAAGCAGGTGGGAAAGGCAAGGGCAAGAGCAGGTCGCCAGGAAGATCACAAGCGCCGACTGGAAAGAAGAACGGGCATGGTTATGGTTGGGCTAAAGGTGCATGCAAAAGAGGAGATACGTGCAAGTTCAAGCACGAACCAAAGATTAATAAAAGATGAAGGGAAAGGAAGCAGCACCTTTAACACCAAACGGTAACAATGCCAAAGCCACTCCTGCGATCGTCAGCAACTTGGACGATGATTGCGATGTATTCTTTAAGACGGTCCCTAACACGCTCAAGGAACCGAAGAAGGTGAAATTCAATGACCACACCGAGATCACTGAGTATGTCAAGTACGACTACATACCATGTTCAAGGCAAAGGAAGAAATCCAATAACGTTGACAAGGAAACACGAACTATTCAACAGCTTTGTGACGACACGCAATGGATTCTCCAATGCAAACTGGGTGCAACTCGTGGTCGTGCTATGGCAATGCTCATGGATTCACAGTATGAATGCAGCGATGTCGATGAGGTACACATTGTCCTTGGTCCCAAGAGTGATCTCAAGGTCAGAATTAAGAGCGACGAGGATCTTGAAGATGACCCCAGGGCCGAACTATTTGAGGACATCATACCTCATGTGCCTGTGAAGTTTGGGAAGAAGGGCAATGTTATGTGGTATCACTATGCCAATCGAACTCCGGGACCGACGATTCATCGTGGACTCAGGCAATGGTCATGACTTGATCTCTGTCGAAAAAGTCGAGAGGATGGATCTTAACCCATATGAGAGCAACAAGATCAGCGTCCACACGGCGAACGGTGTGACATCCACTAGATGGATGGTTGACTTGGACTTTGACACCTTCAATGAGCCCGCCGAGGCACATGTCCTGGAGGATACTCCTTCAGTGTTGTCATTGGGGAAGAGATATATGGAACAAGGCTACTCATTTGCCTTGCCCAGCGGACGTGATCCCTATATGATCAATCATGATCAATCCCACCGGTGAGAAGGTCAAGATGGAGGTCAGGGATTTGATCCCTTACGTCTACTTGTGTGACGAGGAATATCGTCCAACTACAGGCAAGGAAGCCAAGATGGTAGCCAAGATTCTGGGCCTCATGAAGGACAACGTCAATCGCACCATCTACATTGATGGATTAAGTGGTGGTGAAGTGTCGGAATCGTGTGATGAAACTTCCAGGTCCTTCGGCGAGGAAGCGGAACGACGAGGAAGAAGAAGAGGAGGAGACGTATCCGGAAGAAGTTCCCGAGAAGCCGGCGAAGAAGACGATGAAGAACGAGGTTATGAACAAAGTGAGCCGGCAGAAGATGAAGCACACATGGATGATGAAGATGAAGACGCCAGAGAAGAAGAAGATCATGATGATGAAGACGAAGGCGTCCGAAGAGCAGGTGATGAACTGGATGGTGACGTAGGTCTGTTGAAGTTGGACCCCGTGAAGTAGACATGATGACGATGATCTCGACGCCGAAGGCATGGATGGTGAGGTCAGGTTAGCAAAGAGGGGAACGTTGAAATATGAAGCGAAGACCCTCGAAAATTTGCTCACTCATCGTTACAAGAACCCCTACTGCAACTCATGCGTCAGAGAGAAAATGAAGCACCATAGAACCTTCAGGGGAGCCTTCAGACGCAAGCTTGCCAAATATAGAGATCTCATCACGTTCGACTTCATGGACACCAGGAAGACCAAGAAGCTAGGCTATGAAACAGTCAAGGTGGTGGTGCGGGAGAGGTTCACTGGCATCATTCAAAGTTATCCTACCCCACAAAGAACACCGATGAAATGGTCTTGGCCATCAAGAAATTCATGGGAAGGTAAATAATCAGGGAAGCCTACTCAGACACAGCGAGGCAGTTTGAGAAGGCTATGGACATCCTGAAGATCCCATTTGATCATGCCCTTCCTGGAAGGCCGTCCACGAACTCTCGTGCAGAGCGCAACAACCAGTTCATCCTGGCAACAACGACTCCATGTCTTCTGGAAGCCTGTTTGCCAGCCTGCTTTTGGAGGTTTGCTATTACATGTGTCTGCCACTTGTTGAATGTGGAACCAGGGGAGGACGAGGTGAGCGCCTGATGCAAACTTCATGGTGGGGAATTCAAGGGCGAGAAGATCCCGTTCGGAGCGCTCGTCTACTTCAAACCGAGTGTTGCCCGGAAGAGAGATCAGTCTCACAAGTTCGACCCAAGGGCATGGAATCATTGCTGGATACGAGGTCACACCAGCTTCCGACATGACCAAGCAGAACTACTCCTTTGACGCCAAATGTGTGGTCGAGAAGCTGACGCACCCGCATCTTACTGAGAGGATCTAGATGCATCTGCCTGTGACATTTCCATGCAAAGAAGTCTTTGAGAGGATGAACGCCATTGGATGGATTGGCAGTTAGAGATCGTCTGGACGGATCACCTGATTTCATTCACGATAAGGAAGAAGACGATGACGACGATGATGGTGGTGACAGTGAAGATGGAGATGACGGAAGTGATGGTGACAAGGCCAAGAGGCAGAAGCTCAAGTCATCTGACACGGGCAAGAAGATCGAGAACCAAGAGCATGAGTTCGATCGCTGCATGAGGGAGTTCGAGAAAAAGTACCTGGAGAAGAAAGAAGATCCTCCTGCTCCTCCTCCTGCGGAACCCCCGCGGTTGAGTATGAACACCACTCCACCGGCACGGCTGGCGATGGCGGGATCTACCTCAGCGACATCGGCGAGCTCGTCAAGCTTGATGGGCAGGACGGTCGAGTCGGTCCGGATGGGAGGAAAGAAATTAAATTAGAGACTCTCCCCGACCCAAGGGTGACTACACTCCCGAAGAGTGGAAAGCTTTTCCGTCGAAAGAAAGAGGTGTCATCATCAGAAGAGAAAAGTTGAGAGAAGAATCAGAGAAGCTCGAAAGAGAGCGTAAGAAGAAGGAGGCTGAGAAGAAAGCCAAGGTTTCAGAAAAGAAAGGATACGAAAAGAAGCCAAATAAAAGGGGAGAGAGAGAGAGAGAGAGAGAGATGGAGGCAAGAACGCTGCTGTCTGCGAGGACGCATCCGATAGTGAAGGGGAAAGCCCTGGATCGCACGGATTGTTCCGAGCGTGCAGATGTGAAGCCCGGTGAACGAGAACACCCATCGGTGATCTCGGGATCTGCTGGTCAGCACCTTTTTACATGGTCCAAGAATGGCCGTCATGCCGATCGAGTCTACTCTGCTCCAACTGAACCTAGAACAGAAGCACTACCTGAGACGAATGTTCAGAACATGAACTTGGTCACGGTCCCAAAGCTAGGTGGGAAGAACACTTCTACTTGTCAAAGCACTTTATGGTCACCCGGACGCGGGTACTATGTGGGAGCAACATTGCGATACACATGTTCGTCAAGTTGGGTTCATGCCAGTCGGGGAGAAATGGCCACCAATGTACTTTCACCAAGGATTACAACTGCTTTTGGTTATCTATGTGATCTGAAGTTGTTTGGGCCCGAGGAATCTCACCAGAGGTTGGGAACTGTTGAGGCCAAGCTCAAGATCCAGGACTGTCAGTTACCTTACAATCTGATACCTCTGCTACCCGGCCGGAAGCAGTTGAAGTCCAACGAGGTGCATTAGCTCCTCATGCAGCTAGCGTTCTGATGAAGTTGCTATATTCTGCGAGGATCGCCCGATTCGATCTGTTAAGATCCATCAACAATTTATAGCACGAAATGTGACAAAATGGTCTGTTCAAGATGACGCCAGACTGTATCACTTGATGTGCCATGTCAAGTCCACATTGGGAAAGAGAATGGTGGGATGGGTAGGTAACTCCATGAAGGATCTATCAAGCGTTGTCGTTTATGCCGATGCTGACTTTGCGGGATGTGCGCAATCTTTGAGGCCCACTTCTGGTTCTCACATGCATGTTCAGGGCAAACATATTTGGTTCCCTCTTGCGGGGGGAGCAAACGGGCTGTGTGAGCCATTCTACACCTGAAGCTGACATAGTTGCCGCTGACGTAACCCTTCGAACTATGGGTCTTCCTTCCTGTATTGAGCATTTGGGAAACAGTATCCAGTTCATCTCCAAGGCCGTTGTTTCATGACGATAAGCAAGGAATGATTGGAGTCGTGAGGGCAGGTCGAAATCCCACTATGCGACATTTGGAGCGCTCCCATGGTATCTCCATCACGTCGCTCGCTGCATCAGCATTTCAACCGAGATCACTTTATTCTGATGTATGAGATCACAGCTAAGATGGCTGCGGACATTCATACCAAAGGATTTAGAAACCCCCTAGCCTGGAAGAAGGCTCAGGAGATCTTGGTTCGAAGCAGTTAGCTGATCTCGTAGCACCGATTACGGACGTCGACACGACGGCTCGGCAAGTGTTTCAGTCCAAGACCAACTTTCCATACACTGAGACTCCTATACTACCACCTGAAGTGTATCGTAAGGGCCTCTCAAGTCGAGAAAAGCTACGAGAGCTACCTGGCATGGATCCCATTTTTGTTGTCAAAACACCAGATTTTCGGCCAGATTTTCGGAGGTGATGCCTGCTCAGTTTGTGGAGCGAGGCAACGCAGTCTTGGAGATCAAACCCTAGCACCATTACAGTGCAAGCCGCATGCTGCCACTTTGGGTAGCCACAGGCAGGCTGCAAAGTGCTTCCGCACTACGCACACAGGGATCAGTGAGGTGTCGTCCCAACCAGCGGTCAACCTCTGCGAGCGCAAAGGCATCCCAAGGCAGTGAAGCCGCCGGCAAAAAAACCTGGATTGTGGGCGACGCAGGGCGGCATTGGTCCATAGCGACCTGGACCCCTGCTTCCTTCCACAGATGCTTCAGACACTGTCGAAACCATTTGGTGCGTTGTTTGAAAGTGTAGGACTCAGCAGTGATGTAGGGCCGCTGGTCCACGTCCACCCATTGCTGTCGCACCCGTAAAGGTCCCGGGTGTCCAAACGTAAGTTGGAAGTCCAGGTACAGCTGCGCAAATGTAACCCAACCAATTTCGGCCGTCCCCACAGCCAGTCTAGCAAAAAACCAATTGCTAATACGCTGTATGATTGTAGTGCCAAAAAGGCGGGCGACACGTGGCTGCAAACGACCATCCCAAGAGCCCAGCTCAAAGTGAGCAACAAATTCTCTGGTTTGGCGGACAGGTCCAGAGGCAGGTTCTCCGGAAGAATTGACACTGCCCTGGACCTGTCGCCTCCCCACAGCCAAATGAAGTTCCTTGACCTGCTGAAAAATCCTGTCTGCAGCAAAAACCGCCTGAACATGGGATTCCCATAGCGCCCAGAATTCCGGAGGCCTCGACTGATTCGAGTACCGGGCTGCTCTGTCAGCATAGTCGTTGTGGAAAAACATCCAGGCCTCAAAACGAGACGTGGCACTGGCAAGTCGTCTGTGTGCTGGAACTTTGCGAAGGTCAATGCGATGTCGACCAACTCGCTCAACTGATTGTAAGATCCACTGCCAAAGGTCGGCATTGCTCGCGTTGACCTTCAATCGCTTATGGCCCCAAACCAGCAGTGAAAACCGGGCTATCACTCCCCTGCAGTCTGTCCAGATACGAACTGCAACATCCTGTTCAGCCGCTTGATGAAGAGTGTGGGCAACGGCGTATAACTCTGCTCTGAATGCTGTCTGGCACAGGCCGGGAAGGTAAGAGGCGCCAACAACCTGAACCCCCCCTGGCACCCAATCGGACCCAAACGGAGGAACCAGTGCCGAAGACCATGCAGCACATCGATAAAGGGGTGACGCCTGACACAGACAGGAACCATCAGTGAACACATCGTTCCAGACCCCCTTGGCAAAGACAACCCCAAATCCAGAAGGGCACGGAGGTAAATCCACCAACAACTGAGTCCAGGAATGCCAAGTGGGCGGCAAAACAGCCCAACCACGCAAAGCCAAAACAGGAGGGAGATCCTCCAGGAGAGGGAGAACATCCGGGGCAAGTTCAACCCGCAAATCCTGATGTTGGGGACACTCCCAAAAGCGGTGCCGCAGGGTGTCTTGTTGGCCACACCATGGGCAACTGTCAGCCTGGTCAGTCCACTTGGCCTTATAGCTCTCAGTGTAGAGCCCACCGGCAAGTCCAAGCCGATACAAAGCCTGATCATCAGGGCCTAACATGGTCAAGGCTCTCCTCGTGGCAGCTAAGTCCACCTGCCAAAGTCCATGAAAGTCCAAACGATGAGCCACCTTTTGGGAGACAACCAACTTCCAAGCCCACTGCAACCGCAAATCAATCTCAGCCATATTGCCGGTTTGGAGGCAAAAGGACCCAAACTGGTCTCTGACTCGGCCACTTCGCTCAACTGACAAACCAAGGGATTGGGCTCGCGCCAGGGCAATGGACGCAGGAGAATTCGGGGGTAAGTCCAAATCACCATGGGCCAACGGAGCAACATTGACAGCCCAGAAGTCAGGGGAACAATGAACTCGAACAGTGCGGAAAGTCCAAATAGTCCAAGCAATAGCCGTAAATTGAGGGTCAACCATGTATTCAACCAAACTCAAAAGAACGGCTGGGTTGATGCCAGGCTTCTGCCATCCAAGGGCTTTGACAGCACTGCGACGAAGGGCAAGCCACGTTTGGTCTCCAACGGGAGCACTGGCAACAGCATGGAGCCCACGGGGCCAGGCGACAGCACGCAACATGAAAATTTTAGCCGCATGTTTAGCCCGGCTGGCTTTCAGCTTGCTCCAAAATCCATCAAGGTCAGAGATACGTTGGGCCAGAGTACGGTTGGTGTACTGCCGGGAAACTCCAAAGTGACCTCCCAGCTCTCTGGCATGGTGTTGAACGGTCCATAAGGATCATTTAACATAAAATTTTAAATATTATTTAAACTTAAAAAAATTTAGTTAAATTTTTAAATTTTAAATATTATTTAAATTTTAAATATTATTTAAATTAATTTTAAATATTTATTTAAAATGTATATTTAAATTTTAAATTTAAATATATCTAAATTCATCAGACATTACATTTTCATGATCTCTCAGTCTTAAAAAAACATGTTAAAAATCATTTTTGAAAGTCGTGTTTTGAGGGTTTTGAGAGTTGAGTTTTGAGAGTGTTAATTCTTGAGAGTCCGCAATGGCGGAAATTTTCACCCCACTCAGCCACTCTGCCAGAGTGGCTGACGCAGCCACTCAGCCACTCAGCCACTCAGCCACTGACTGAGTGGCTGAGTTGCTCCAGCCACTCTGGCAGAGTGGCTGAGTGGCTGGTGCAGCCACTCTGGCAGAGTGGCTGGGTGGCTGCTCCACCCACTCTGGCAGAGTGGCTGAGTGGCTGAGTGGCTGCTCCAGCCACTCTGGCAGAGTGGCTGAGTGGTTGAGTGGCTGCTCCAGCTACTCTGGCAGAGTGGCTGAGTGGCTGCTCCAGCCACTCTGGCAGAGTGGCTGAGTGGCTGAGTGGCTCCTCCAGCCACTGTGGCAGAGCGGCTAAGTGGCTGAGTGGCTGCGGCAGAGTCATCAGCCAATGAAATGGATAAAGTGTTTAAGCATTTAAATATCCAAGCAAGATTATATGATATTGACAGCAACTTGATTTACAAACATAACCCTGTAAACTTTAACTGCCATAGCTACATAACTTTCAACGTATGATTAAGAACAACCACATATACAGTTTGAACCACAACCTGAAATCACTTAAAAGGAAAAAGAGTGTTGATGAACTCTACAAGTTCAGGATTGGAAAGAACTATTACATAAACAACAGAGAAGAACCTCTTAAACACAAAATGATTGATGGCATCGATGATGTGATGAGTTTAAAGGATGAAGAATACATATTAGTTTTAAAAGGCAATGATTTGAACAAAGCAATTTATGAAAGGAAAAGAGCAGGATATGAACCACAGGTCAGGCGCACAGCAGGTAGGGCAGTAGAAATCAAGTTTGATTCAACACACAACAAGATAATCAAGAAACAGAAAACGGTCATCTACAGCATTGTAACACAGCACCGTGACCATGATAGAATCAATGATGATATCTTGGTGGAAACAGAGGAATAATACAACAAAGCCAGCGCGACAATGTTCAAGTTTCATGTCAATTTTCAGTGAAAATCATAAGTCATACTATAACGAAACTGACATTAATTGGATGAATGCAGAACCATTGTTCCTAATGGAAGGTTGTTAAAGGATGATAGCAAAGGCTATGAACTTGTCCTTGTCCCTGAGGATATGTGTAGCATCGACACACGGAAAGCCTACTCATACCAAGCAACAAAGATTACACACATTCCAGTGTTCAAAGATTTTGATGTATGGAAGCCATACGCCAAAAAATATGATTTTAACAAAGTCAAGAACTACACCTTGTTCATAGTGAGGGCATGTCGGAGCAACATTTGTTTTCTAACAAACATAATAATCTGGTGTATGGGAAGCACTTGAAGGAATTGATTAAGAGAGGGGTGGCAATGAAGAAACTATTTTGCAAAGTACCTTCATACATTCACAGAGTGAAGTATAAGAAAGTGGTTGAAAATTTGTATAAAACAATGATTAGTGATGACAAGTTTGAGAATCAAACAGTCTTGAAAACTATTGCTAATGTAGCCTTTGGTTTGCTTGAGAAGTCTTACAAAAGAAAAATAGGATTTTTGATAATCTTAAGGAGGCAGTACAGCACCGGAAAAAAAATGATGGGAGGATTTACGCAATGAACAAAGAAAAGTATGAGGAATATTTTAGATGGAGAGAATTAGAAGAAGATTGGACTATCGAAGTTGATGAGAACAACAAACCCTTTTGTTAGACATGTGAATGGCGGTGCGTGTTTTACGGATTTTGATTATAACGTCGAGGATGGCAAAACCTACTACTGTGAAAATGAGTCATTCAACCAAAAGATAGAGAAGAAAAGCGAGACCGCCAAATATTAATATAGTCAGTGTCAGTGACCAAAGGCAGTTGATGAACGGATTCAGGTATATCAAAGACCAACTGTTACAAAATCATAACTTTCATATGTATGATGCATATGAGAAGTTGAAGGAGGCCATCAATGTTTACGTTGTAAAAACTGATGCCTTTCACATAGCAAAGAGGGATTTCAAGAAAACTAAAAATATATTGAATTTTCATAATGAAATAGGAGGCTGAAGAGCGGAAGATAAGAAAGTTGTTCCTGTTCCCGAAGTCTATGGATGGAAACACAATGAGATTCCAAAAATACCGATTTACAAAAGCGAAAGGACTGAGGTTCATGATGAATGGGACACAGAAGCAATTAAAAACGCCAGCAATAAGGAAGAAGAGAGTCATGATTAGGGCAAAATTTGCAGGAAGTGGTAAAAATTTCATTGGAAAACATTTCAACGACCTAAGTTATAATACATTTTTTGTTGTTCCTCAAAATATGCAAGAGCAAGATGTTCCATGTGATGCAGTCACCCAAAATATTTTATTCAGTGTTCCTGTGTGTAAGGGGGAAAGCAGGTTACCAAAGTATGATTACAACGATTATGATGTAATCTTTTTTGATGAAATCTATATGTCAAGTCCTTATATCTTGAAAAGATAAGAGTCTTCTGCAATGAAAACCCTCATTTGATTGTAATAGGTGCAGGTGATGTCAAACAATTTCCAAGCATAGAACCCTTCACCAACAACCCAAATGGAGAGGAGTATGTTGACAATTGCATGGACATAATTTTCAAATACAATATCTTTCTGCAGATACGCAAAAGAGTAGGAGGTAAAGATACAGAAGAGGAACAGGAAAAGAAAAAAGTTAAATGAAATCTATGATGATTTTTGGGAAACAGATTTGGATGAAGTTTTATGATATAAGGAAATACACTTAAAAGATCTTAAAAGGAAAATGTTTTATAATAGTATAGAGAGTAGAAAGTGCAGAAAGTGTAAGAAAAATAAAAAAGGGTGACGAGTTCAATGGAATGAAAAGAATGTATATTGAATGCTTGGGCAAACAAAAGGCGAGTAACACAGTATATTATAATCAAAAGGAAGTATTCTGCGACACTTGCCAGCGGAATGTGAAACAATGCAGGTTGTTCAAACACCTTAAAACCGACAGGCATATCAACAAGGAAAAACTCAAAAAGGAAGAAGAGAAAAAGCAAAAAGAGATGGAGGAATACTTAAAAGATGATGAAACCAGAATTGCAAAATTGAAACAAATCTGGAAAAACATTGCACCAAAAAACGTTAAAAATGTTTATCCCCAAAAATTTTCATATCATAATTTATTTAAAACTATGATACGAACATAGGTATGTTAGAGGTGGATGATTTAGATTTATGATATTATTTTATAATATTATATTATGATGAAACTTATGATGACATATTACGATTAATTTTTGCGATTTGAATTTATGTGATGATGGATGATGATGAAATGATGTGGGATGATGAGGTATGAAATGATGTGGTGTTATTTGATACTGTGATGAAATGATATGAAATGTTGTGAAAATGAAGTGTGGTAAATGATGAAATGATGGAGGTGGATGGTATGAACTTAGGTGTGTTTGTGTCTAGCTATGTATATATATATATACATATATATATATATAATTTCTTTAATAATATGCATATATGAAAACATTGGAACTACAACCAAATGTCTTATTCCTTTCACCATGATGATCCGCAGAGACCCACGCAGCGAACCCCTTTAACACAAATGGCTAATGACTTCTTTCTCACAACCCTTTAACACAGACGTCCGCATAAAATTCCATTCAATCCATAAGAATATATGCCCCAGTGCCTACAAGATAAAAGGAAGGCACCCTAAATTAGCATAAAACCTCACTTGAAAAACTACCCAGACCTAAGAAAAAATAGGTCTGGGAAATACTGCTTACACTCCATTGGCTAAGCTGCATTAGCTATTCACCACCCACTGAAACATTCTGCCGCTCAGCCGTCTGCCAGAGTGGCTGGAGCAGCCACTCAGCCACTCTAAGTGACTGAGTGGCTGAGTGGCTGCTCCACTCCAGCCACCCAGACGCTCTGGTAAGAGTGGCTGGACCAGCCACTCAGTCACTCAGAGTCTTTGCAAAAGAAAAGGTGTGATAGCTTTGTTCTGAAAACTTCAATCTGAAAAGTTCAGTGCATTGAACTTTCAAGTCAAAACTTCAATGTAAAATTTCAATCTGAAAAGTTCAGTGCATTGAACTTTCAAATCAAAACTTCAGTGTGAAACTTCAATGCATTGAACTTTCACATCAAAACTTCAGTGTACATTGAACTTTCACATCAAAACTTCAGTGTACATTGAACTTTCACATCAAAACTTCAATGTAGAACTTCAATGCATTGAACTTTTAAGTTAAAACTTCAATGCATTGAACTTTTGACATTGAAGTTTTGATGTGAAAGTTCAATGTACACTGAAGTTTTGATGTGAAAGTTCAATGTACACTGAAGTTTTGATGTGAAAGTTCAATGTACACTGAAGTTTTGATGTGAAAGTTCAATGCATTGAAGTTTCACACTGAAGTTTTGATTTGAAAGTTCAATGCACTGAACTTTTCAGATTGAAATTTTACATTGAAGTTTTGACTTGAAAGTTCAATGCACTGAACTTTTCAGATTGAAGTTTCACATTGAAGTTTCAAACGGTATATATTGTTTGAATTATATTACTTCAATCTTGCTTTCACATCGGATACAGCTTGATCAATATTAGTTTGTGGACTAAATTTCATTATTATCGAAGCTCTACCAGGTTCACTACGTGACATAATCTCTTCAAGACCTGTCAAACCTTTTAGTTCATTTTCTGCAGGAGTAACAATTTGTTTCTCCATGTAGAAAGGGCTTGACTGTTTATATGAAAAAGTAACAGAAATAGACGTGCTGTCTACCTTAGGTACTGTATTTATATCTAACCTAGTAAAAACTATTACGCCTATAATAAAGATGAATAAATTCAGTATAACGACCAACCTAGGCCTAGAAATAAAAATACCAGTAAAATTGATCATAAAAATAAAATCAAACTAATCACGAACTATTCTTACTTTATCTCCGTTTACAATCTTAGATATACCATGCAGAACTACTTCATCACCGGCATGAAGCTCATTTGAGATTATTTCTATAACACTCCCCACCTTAGTTTTGAGTACCACATTTGTTTTTTGACATATTCTTCATCAACTATTTTATAAACAAAGTTATACCCCTCGTCATCTTCTAATATAGATTTTGCGTCTACAACTTTAGTATTGTATTGATTGTATTTTAATGTAATTGGCACATAGACACCATGTACAATATTGATATTTTGAGCAAAAGAGATTCTGGCGGAAACCATACCTGTAGGATCAGTATAAGAAGAAATTGATAACAACTCACCTTGAACAATGTTTCCGCTAACATCTTTTGTCGAGATGTCTACATTGCTTGGACCAAGGTAGATTAATAAATACCGTTTTATCTTCTTCACGAGACAAAAAAACTAAAAAGGTAAGTACCTGGACTAACTGTATCTCCTAGATTAACTTGTGCAACTCCTATATATCCATCTCTAGGAGCTTGAATAACCATGTGATCATAATTGTTTTTTACTTCTGATAAATCACTAGAAGCCACATCAAGTTTAGCTTTAGATTGATCCAGAGATTCCTTGCTAATGAAATCCTCTTGATATAACTTGCAATGTCTATTGTATTCCTTAAGAGCATTATCAAAATTAGTTTGTGCTTTTACTTTCTTAGATATGGCAACTTTACCATCAATAGTAAGTAAAGTATCACCTCGTTTAACTCTTTTACCCTCCTTAACTATAGAATCAACTTTTCCCACAACCCGAGAATAATACTCCTCACTGTTATTTGAATTACACTTTCCAAATAAAGTATATTCTTCATAGGCACAATCCTCCTTTATCGTAGTACATCCAACATTAACTGTAGGCTTAGTAGGTTTTGTAGCGGCTTTAGAATGAAACAAAAAAAACAAAATGTAATAAGCCCAACAATGCTGATTCTTTATAAGATTAATATAAAGTTTGCATTCAGTAACCGAAACAACTGCATAATTAGAAACTTCAAATAATAAGTAAATTTGCTAATTTTTTTTGACAACATGCAATATTATATACTTAAAATAAGTTAATACGATGCAAAAAAAATCATGAGGTAATAAAAAACTAGTACAAATTACTATCCCTTAATTTTACCGTGACAATGCTTATACGTTTTTCCCGATTTACAATAACAAGGATCATTTCTAGTAAGGTTAATATGTAGCTCCCCTTGATCCTGTGATGTTTCATTATCAACAAGGCTGTTATTTTTTTGATTCTCTTTGAAATATTCAATATTTTCCTTGATACATTTGTAGAGTCCTTGTAGGAATTTAGCATTTATACCATCTAGCATGTACTCAAATAACTCAAAAGCCTCTTTTTTATACTCCTGTAAAGGATCTTGCTGGGCATAAGCTCTATTATGTATGGATTCCCTGACACTATTAAGAGCGTGTATATGATTTTTCCAAGCCTCATCCATAATGTAATAGTAAATGTTTTGCTATGGAATCGTGATATTTTAAGATATCCTCAGAATTAAAAAAATCATATCTACTACGGGCCCAATCTAGGCTAAGCTCTTTGAGCCGTTTCTTTGATTTAACAGCGTTGTTAATATCTCCTTGATCTATTTTGATATCAAAAACATTGTTGTAATGTTCCATATATTCAACAAGAGCATTACCATTCAGATCTGCATCTTTTTTTTAAATAAATTTATCAATACAATACTCAGTGTAGATCCCTACTATATCAAAAACTCCAGAACGAATATCATCTGAACCCATAATGACATCCCTCTGAGCATAGACTATATTGCGCTGTTTATCTACTACACTGTCAAACTCAAACAATATTCTTCTAATGGAATAATTTTGATATTCAATTTTTTTTTCTGAGCCTTCTCTATGATTTTATTTAAGGTAGGATGATTAATGGATTCATTATTTTTAAGCACTATTTTTTTTAAAAAAAAGTCGCGCATTTTGTCATTAGAGAAAATCTTGATTAAATTATCATCTAGTGATAGAAAAAAACGGGAACATCCTTTATCTCCCTGTCTACCCGCTCTACCCCTTAACTGATTATCAATTTTTCTACTTTCATGCCTTGCAGTACCAATAACAAACAAGCCTCCTACTTTTTGCACTTTCTCTTTAGATTCAGAAGTATTTTTTATAAGTTTGCTCCGTATTCTATCTAATTCAAGACTATCAATATCAGACCTATTGTTTACACTATGCTGAATCATCATAGCAGGATTACCACCTAATATTATGTCAGTCCCTCTGCCAGCCATATTGGTAGCAATTATTACACTTTTATATTCACCAGCTTGAGATACAATATGAGCCTCTTGTTCATGAATTTTAGCGTTAAGCAAGTGATGCTTTATGTTTGTTTTTTTTTTAAATAAAGTGGAAAAATTCTCTGAAGATTTAATGTTATCACTTCCTATAAGAATAGGCTGACCTACAGAATGTCTTTCTTTGACTAAATCTAAAATTGCATCATTTTTCTCCTCCTCAGTGCCATAAACCAAGTCATCATAATCTACACGCCTTACTGGCTTATTTGTTGGAATTCGAATAACTTCTAACCTGTATATGTTCTTAAATTTTTCTTTCTCTGTGATTGCAGTACCAGTAGTACCACTTAGATGTCTATAGTGAAGAAAATAATTCTGCAAACTAATAGATGATATTTCTTCATTCTCTTACTGAATTGTCACTTTTTCTTTTGCTTCTAGAGATTGATGTAGATTATTAGAAAATCTTCTTCCAACAGCTATTCTGCCAGTACTTTTCTGAATAGACATAATCTTATTATCTTTGATTATGTGATCCACATCTGGTTTCATCAATTTATGCGCTCTTAAACTTTGAGAAATAAAATGTACCACTTGAATGTTTTGAATATCATACATTTTGCTATCCTTGCTTATCAAGTTGTCACTTGGATTGCACGCGTCTGGATTGCACGCGTCTGGATTGCACGCGTCTGTTTCTCCATATATTGGCATATATTGTTTTAAGGAGTGCAATTCTAGTTTTGATGGCTTTGAGAATTCACTAGTTTTGAGAGTTTCGAGATCACAACAGATTTAGTTTTGTGATGGTTTTGCGAGTCGTAACAGTTTTAGCTTTGAGAGTTTCGAGAGTCCCAACAAGTTTATTTTTGAGTGTTTTGAGAGTCGTATATAACAATTTTAGTTTTGAGAATTTTGAGAGCTTAATTAGAATAATCAATTTAGATATATGAATAATTTTAGTTTATATTTAGTTAAAATTTATATTCCAACCTTTATTAAATAAAAATTCGAATAATATTTAAATTGACATATCGTTCATATGTGAATAATTTTAATTTATATTCAGTTTAATTTATATTTAAAGTTTTATTATATAACGATTTAGAATAATGTTTAAATTGACATATCGTTTAGATATATGATTAATTTCAATTTATATTTGATTTCGATTTATATTTTAACTTTGATTATATAATAATCTAGAGTAATATTTAAACTGAAATATCGTTTAGATGTGAATACTTTCAATTTATATTTGATTTAAATGTATATGTTCGCATTAATTATTTAATTGTTTAGAATAATATTTAAATTTAAATATCGTTTAGATATATGAAAAAAATAAAATTTATATTTAACTTAAATTTATATTTTCACTTTTATTATATAGTAATGTAGAAAAATATTTAAATTTTAAATATCTATATTTAAATTTAATTTAAATATATTTAATATTAAAATTTCAATATATTTAAATTTTAAATATTTTTAAAATTTAACTATGTATTTAAAATTTATATTTTTATGTTAAATGATCCTTATGGGTGATGCCACTGTCTCTGAGCTGCCGTCGCATGTCGGGGCAGGTGGCCCAACCAAAAGTCTTTCTACGGTCAATGGTCAAGTCAACCATTCCAGCAAACTGCTCGAGGAGGGCCAGCTGTCGAATGGCAGCTGCGGCATCAGATGTCAAAGTCTGCCAATCATCAACATAGGTCAGACAACGCACTGAGGGTGCTTGGAACCTCATCCAACAGGCAAAGAGGTGGTCAATCAGCAGCATGCCATAAACCGACAACCCACAACCTTCCGCAAGACCAGTGGAAGTCAAGAAGCCCTGGGAGTAGGAGTCACGGACCTTGAAGTGACGACACATATTGGCAAGGGCACCGCTCCAAGCAGTTGTGACTTCATGGGGGGTTCCAACCAACACGGCCAAACACAGGGCTGGGAACCGTGGAATGCAGTTGAAGCACTTCTCAATATCTGCTGCCACCCCAGCAACCCCTTGAGAGGAGGTATAGGCCTGCTCAATCTCAACGAGCAACTGCATCCAGAGTTCAGAGGCCTGCCTCCCTTTACGGTTCCCAAAAACACTGTCATCAACCCACTGGTCAGCAAAGTCCAACAAGTACCGAGATTGGATGCTGCTCCAAACTCGGTAAGACAAACCAAAAATGGTGATGGGTCTGTAGTCCCCAACACCGGCAGCATGCTCGGTCTTGGCAAGTGAGTGGACTTTTCCAGCGATCAGTTGAGCTGGCCACACGCCATCATGTTCAGCGCGACGGAACATCAGAGTCAAGCTGTGAAGCGTCGCAGCATCGGCTTGGACCAAATCTTGTCTGCTGACGCCATCCAAACCTGTGGCAGCCGATTTCTTCTTTCTGAGGACTTCAGCATGAAGAAGGGTGGAGTCCACCGCAAGGTGAGGGGTAACCGTGGGTCTGACGACCTGCTTGGCAAAGTCCAAAAGCTCAGTCCAGCGGTCAAAAGGCACACCATCATGTTTGCACCACCGACGACGCCATTGTTCATGGAAAGCTTCGAACAGAGTCTGGAGGTCACCCACAAGCTGTGACTGAACACATGGATCCTGAGCATGAACCTCAGAGACATCTTGGAGCCAAGCTTTGTCATGCTCTGCATGGACTATGTCATGTGCATGCCCCGAAATCCAAAGGGGCTGAGAAGGATCTAACTGCACGGGGGACTCAAACTCAACCGCACAATCAGCATGATCAACACAAGACACCCGGACTTCAACCTTGTGCAAGATCGATTCCACAGGTTCAGCTGAGGGTCGAGCGACATCACGAAAGACCAACTGGCGGTCTCGATCATGTTGAGCTGATCGGTGGGAAGTCCGGCTTTGCATAAGACGGCGCTCCAACAGACGAACATCAGCCAAGACAGCGTCATAGATTTGATGGGCAACCCGGGAACCAGGACAAAACTGAGGCATAGCAACGGGGTCAAACGGACTGACATAGGCACGAGAAGGCCACCACTGACTGAAGGATGAGCCAAATCCAGGGGCTCGAAGAATTGAATTCCATAAGCCAATTCCATGTAGGCAATCACTGAGCCCAACCTGCGGGCGTTGGTCAACCCAGCGACAAAAGTGTTGGAGGCGACGCAACTGTTTGAACCTCTTAACATGGAGGGCAGAAAATCCAAAAAACCCCGGACTCACATCATGGCTGCGGCCTTGTTTAAGTGGAGCAACACGGCCAACAACACGCTTCGGTGAGGTCTGCTGGCCCCTTCCCGCCATAGAAGAAATCCAATCATGACCAAGGGCCTGTTGGGCAAGGGCCTCTTTTTGACGCCACAACTGGGCATACTGGGCTGTAGGGTCGGCAAAGCCAGCAAAGTCCACACAGACAGCAAGGTCAGGGGTGTGAGTCCAATCAATCTGTTGGGGGCATGGCCAGATGAATCGCTCAAGTTGAGCTTTCCCACCAGCAAATGTCGCAACAAGAACAGAATGGTCGGCAAAAACTTGGTGGTCTACTTCAAGGCCAACAAACCCACGGGCAAGCTCAGGAGACAACCAAAGGAAATCCTTACGGGTTGATCCCTTGCAGGTGTTTTGGATCGGCTGTCCCGTAATGGAAAAAGCCAAGTCTTGGGCTTCAATCCAACCGGCTTCCCTCATGCGCGGGGCAATATGGAGCTGATCAAGGGGGAAATTCCAATCACCTGTGAAGAACCGAGGCCCTGGCTGGGCACAAAGTCGAGTCCAAGCAAAGTCCAAAATGGCTTCTGTTTTGCTATGCGCATGGGGGTGGCTACGGCCTTCAGGATACCCGTAAACCACAGCACCTGAAATCCAATCAGCCGGTGTGTAGAATGCGCCGAATTGAAGTCGGCCAGTTTCATACAAGTCACTGGGCCAAGGTGTGGCCAACGTTCGGCAAGGGCAAGATGAAGTGAAAGCCACTCCCGCCCATTGCCCGGCATCGCTTGCACTGGAACGTGGAGCCATGGGTGCTCCGGCAAGTACATGTTTGTACTGAGACTGGTGAGACCGAAAACTGTGCGAAAGACCAATCTTGGCCTGCTTTGTCAAATGCGTCTCGCTGACTGCGAGGACATCGGCCTTGATGCCACTAAGCACATGGTGTTTACCCTGCAGCCCTGACGGGTTGCAACACCCCAACTTCCATGTGCAGTCATCAGGACCTGGAACTCGTGCTTCACCAATGCGGCACGAAGTCAAAACCAAAAGAAACATCAAAAACGCCCGGATGGAGCGAGGTCGCCCCTGGGTCACCCTGGCAGTGGGCAAAGGCGCAGGGCCCCAATGCTGTCATTCTGTGCGGGGCTTCTTAGCCAGGATTGTCTCAATTCTGGCCATCTGGTCCGTCAGCATCGATTGCATCTGGTGCGTCTGCAAGTCAAGCTGAACCTTCATCTGCTGCTGGAGAGACTGCACTTGGGCTGTGTTCTGTTGGTGATTGTCCTGCACCGTGGTTTCCAAACTGGCCTGTCTGGTAGTGAGCTGGTGCACCTGGGCTTCCAACATTTGAAGTCGTTGATCCTGGTCATCAACTTCCATCTTGTCTGTGGCAGGCAATCGAGAGAGAATGCTTTGCTCTATGCGCTGCTCCAGTTCTTGCAGCACCGGTTGAGCTGGTGGTCCAGCAGGCATGGGTGAAACATTGCTGACGGCTTTGGACCAGGGGTCGTTGGTCAGCCACGGGTCTTGCCCGGCTGCATCTGTCTGACGGCACAAGTCCAACGTGCTGGCATGGCCCACAACCTGATCTGGCATGGCAGGGGCCGCAGTTTTCTGATCAGGGCATGTGATAACAACTTGGCCATGTTGCATCGACAAGACACGGACCGGAGGCTCATCCACGGCCTGGACAGACCACATCAAACCACCTGACACATGTTGGACCGGCTGGAGCGGTCGACACTCCCAATTGCAGGCCTTCAGGGTTTTGGCCACACTTTTGCGGTCGCTGCCAAATGGCCATGGTCCACAGTGATACAGAGTTCTGGTCCCTGGTGCTAAGTAGACTGCGTCTGGCTTGACTCGTCGGAACAGCTGTTGAAACTTCTGGACATGTACTCGGAGTCCATACCTTTTGCCTGTCCTAGCAAGTCCAAGGCAATCGACTTCACATTTGGCTCGGTGGACTATTGACCCAAAATCCAATTGAGGAAGCCAGACAACTTGGTAGTCTTCATGTGGGCGCAAGGCATCTTCAGTCTTGGGTTCAACATAGATCCCATGCAGGCCGCTGCTGGTCAAAACTCCATGCTCGAGGCTCTTGACATACCTGACAAAAAAGGCAAAGTAGGCAGCTTTATCCCATTTGACAGGACGACCGGTCTCAGTGAAGAACTGACGGCGAAACACATCAAGTACTGCGTCTGGCGGTTGATCTGGCTTGGGGTGCCAGCATGGGCAAGTGCATTGGTCACCATTTCGGCAGGTCTGCAGACACTGAAGGACTGACAAGACATGTTTGACAGGACGATTGGCAAAGTCCTCCCAGTCATTCTCCCACTGGTCCTGATAGACAGTGATGCGAGCACAGGCAGCTTCTGTGGCAACAACTGCAGGTGTGTCTTTGGCCGTGAACTGGTAGACACAGGCTCGACCCAATTGGACAAGGAGACCGGACACGATCATGGGTTCCTGGTTCATGCTGCATCTAGCTGCAAACCTGACAGTGGACCAGATAAGAGCAGTTGACACATCACCAGGGGGATTCAAGACCAACAAGGCAAGGCCATGGTTTGTCAACAACTGCCCCGCCTGTAGGAAAGGCAAGGCGTCTTGGTACGTGGCCAAGGCAACTCCAACAGCCAGAGGACCGAAATTCTCAAAAGGTATCTGGCACACAGGTTCATCTTGACCAACACAAAACGCCCCAGGTTCAAGTTGCAGCTTGCTGGGGTCGAGGTCAGCAGGGCGGGACGGCATCACTTTCTTGGTTTGAGGCGGCTTCTTGGGCTTCCCTCCACCTTTCAACGGTTGCTTGGCTGCTCCATGTTGAGCTTGCTCATCCGGCAGGACCATCTGCAATGGTGGCGTTTGCATGTTTGCCAACACCTTCAGGGATTTCCAGGGGGCAATTCCAAGGACCGCTTTTTGGACTTCAAGTTTGCCTAGAGACTGAACGACCAACTTGGCTCTGAGCATGGCTTGTCCTGCAGGGACTCCGTGTGTTTGGAGCAACTCGCTGGTGAGTCCAATGACATCAGCTTGGCCAAATCCCCAACACCACGGCTTGAGGAGCACTGGTGCAGTGCGGCAAGTGTCAGCAAAGCTAGCTTTCAAATCTTGGTGTAGGGACATCAATGCAGCCTCAGAACTGGGCAAATCATGACCAAGCAGCCGATGGGACACGAACGCAACAGAAGCAGCACCACACAAGCCACGTGCAAATGACCGACGGGTACAGGCTAACCCAAACATCGGACGACCCCACGAAGCGCTCAGAAGTCCATGGAGGGGGTTCAAGCAGTCAACATCAACGTCGGCATGTTCCCACATTGCAACCTGGACATCCGAGATTCCAGCAGTCCACACAATGGGCATCCAATGACCTTGGACAAGGACGGCCGTGACAATCATGGAAAGACCAAGGTGTTTGCCATCCACTCCCGAACACAGTCAACAGTGCCGGACTGAAGCCAACTCCCTGCCAACAACGGATCAAGGTATTGCACATCCGTTCGGCCACTCAACTTGATGCAAGCCATCAAATGGAGGTTGAGCTCATCGTCACCCATGGCAAGTTCTTCATTGGCCAGCACAGCAAGTCTAGCTTCCAGGGACACAACCGTTCGACGGAACATAGCACAAGAGGACACATCAGACACCAAAGGCGGCACAAGAGCAACCAATTGGGCACCAGACAGGTGGCGAAGACCAGGAAGAGCATCCATGATGTGGCCAGGATCAGCCGAAGCAGTGGAGGCAACCTCAAGTCCAAGTCCAACAGACGGCACAGGAGCAAGCCAACGTTCTGCAGCAGTCTCAGAAATGACCGGGGGTACTTCAGTGTCTTCCAGGGTGTCCTCTTGTTCAGGGTCTTCAAAAAGAACTGGGATCGGGGTCACATCAGAAGTCCATGGAGGAAGTCCAGAGGAGGAAGCAGAGGCAGAATGACGATCACCTTTCACCAAAATGGTCAACCCAGCAACACATGTGGAATAGTCCAACTGGTTCCCAGTAGACGCATCAATCCACTGGTCAGAGGTGGCATCTTGGGACAAAGCCAACTCGGCCTGAAAAAGCTCAATCACAGTGGTCTCAGGCTGCACCTGCACACGAACCTGGGTACCATCGGGATAAGTCAAGGTAGTCCAGGCAACTGGCGTCGGGTCTTTTGCGAGGCTAGGAAACAAATCCCGGGCAAATCCAAATAGTTGGCTCTTGAGGGTGCACAACTTTTCAAAAGGACTGACAGGGGGCAATTCCAGAACGGTGCAAAGCTGTTGCATGACACAAGACCCAATCCAAACAGATTGCATTGGTGACGCCAACTGGCCAATGGCGCTCAGGCAAAGTCGCAAACTGGGACGATCATGGGACATCCAGGCTGCTGGTGGCAACATGGCATTCAGGAGAGCCAATTCAATCGGATGCAAATGACGATATCCAATGGTACCTGCGGCAGAATGCAACTGAATGAGCTGGGCATAAACACGTCGCTGTCGCAGTAAAGACTCACTGAACGCTCGGCGACATCCACAAGGACACTCACTTGCCTGGCTGCCACATGAGTGAAGGCTGGTGGGCAATTTGCCTTCAGTCTGAATCATGTACCTACGCAAAGATGAACCATCAAGCGTGAACTTGGATTCTTCCAATGGGGACAATCGGAGTTGCTCTAAGTCTTCAATAGACCATGACTTGATGAAAGGCATGACATCCCGAATGGTGAGGCTTGGATTCTTGGGCCAATCTGAAAGGGTCACGGGGCCCAATGCAGGGTGGGATGCAATTAACCACCATCTGTGGCGTCTGGCACACCAGTTGTCCTCAAGTTTCATCGTCAGTTCCGAGATGTGGTATCCCAAAACAGTGGCTAGTTGCTGCAAACAGGCCCTCACGAATTGGTTGGTACGTGCCTGGGTGACATTCTCAACAATCAGCAAAGGTGATTGCAGCAAGTGGACAGCACGGACTGTGGCAGGGACAGTACTGGACCTTTCATCTGAAGACCCTCCTTGGGACCCCCCTGAGGAGTAGGGCTGACATGAAAAACCAGTCATCAACGTGAAAGGGGGATCAACTTTGCTGGCCACTTCTTTCAGGCATGCTGGGTCGCATATATCGCCCTGAACAACTGTGACACCTGGTTTAGTGACCCGATGCAAGTCCACAAAAGGGGAACGCCACTCACCGCTGCAGACATGCCGAAACCCAGCCAAGTCCAACCCCAAACTGGAACACGCAATCCCCGCACAAAGCTCAACACACCGGAACATATCCTCAGTCGGTCTAAGTCCATGGGCAACAACAGACGACCTCTCATCCAAGTGCAAGTCCAAGACCTTCCCAGCCTGTTCCAAGACAGCATCGAACAGAGTCATACGTCTGCATCCACGAACCTGAGGGTCAACACGTCCCAGCACTCTGACCTGCTTCGCATCGGGTACAGTCACCCCGATCATAGTCCCTGAAGTGTGGGTCAGGGCATCAATGACTACGGCAATCCTGGCACCCTTCTGCATTGATTCCCAATTGGGGTTGAAACAAACGTCAGACCCATGGGGGCAATCCCAGCTTGACATGGCAACACGGGGGACAAACGCTCAAAAATTAGTTAGAACGACTGCCCACTGGTAGGGTTTTGAGCCCCAGCTTTGTCAAAACACCAACCTGGTCCAGAAACCGACCGTCAGGTGTCAAGCTGCCCGTGCATTGTCTGCGGAGCACGTGGATCCTTGTCCACGGGAAGGTGGAGAAGACCGAGGACAGAGCACCCCCAGTCCAGCAGCAATCCAGGTCTGCCCGATGTCTGCCCGTTGGGGGAACTTGCATGCTTCCAGCTTCATGCTCCCACTTCCACGCCGGTAGTCTCAGCGGATGCGCGTCCATCGGCACACAACCGCGCTCCACGCCCTTCTGCGAGGAGGTCCGGTCCGAATACCAGACGAGTAGACCCGGAACTCACGTTTGGCACGGACTGTTTGTTTCAACAAGCAAGGCGGAAGCCCAAGGCGCCTTTCAGCTTGCATGAGGGTACTCCGCATTCTAGTCGTGTGATCAGCGTGCTGATACGCATTGTTCATGGGGGGAGAAGCATGGGGGGTCCTCCTACAACGCCAAGATCAACCCATACCAAACATATGGCTTCAGCAGCAACTACTACAAGTCAAGTTCCGGATCAATGGAAGTGGATAGATGGCCGTACTTTGGAATCGGCACGCGAATCATGTGCAGACTGATGAAACATCTGGTCGAAACGGGCATGAAACCTGCGAGCTTCACCACAATGTTCGCCGAAAATCCCGACATGAGCGACAAGGAGAGGGAGGCGCTCCGGAGGAGAAGCTCATCTATGGTGAGAAAATTAATCCTTGGAACATGTGGTGTGAGGAGCTACGACTACTTCAGGACCAACTACCCATTGGAGGATCACCTACAACACATCGACCCAGTATCCATCTTCTGCGCTGTGATCAAGAAGGTCAGAACCTATTCCGGATCGTTGACGCTGGTGAATCAAGACCTACTGCTGCCAGATCAACTTATGGAACAACATGAAGCGAAACAGCAAGTCCTTCGACGAGCATGGGGAACCGGGTAGCACCAGTATGAGATATGATTGGTACCAATTTCGTTTAATTAAGATGGGGAGGTCTAAGCCCTGGCATTTACTCTCCCGCGCCCAAGCCTCAAACTTTTCGATGGGCGTGGGGGGTGTGACTATAATGCAGGCCAGGTATAACCCCATATAGGTCATACATGTGGGCCGGCACGGGAGTACATCAGTATCATACCCGCTGCCTTGGCTCAAGCAACAAAGGACTGCATAGCAAAGGAAAAGGGCGCTGCGCTTTGGCACTGGGTGACTGCGGATCCTTAGGGAACTTGATCATCAAGGACATCAACGTCGCGGAGCGCAACCATATCAGCACCCAATCTCATATATCTAGAGAGACAAAGAAAGAGAGAGAGAGAGAGAGTGTGACACACTCTGGCAAACACAAGTAGGTTCCTGAAAGATGGAAATTTCTCAGTTTTGGGAGGGCCAGCATATACGCACACACACACACACACTCATATATAATCACATATATATATATATATAATGATGGGTATATATAGTTCAATGTTTGTGCACATTTGGTAAAAGGCGCGCGTATGGTCAGAAAGCGGCGCGTACTTTTATATGTTTGTATGAATTTGCATTGGGTTGCGTTATCAATCAGTCCTCATTTTATCGAACTGACTGACAGCACAGACTTTATTCCAACATGCCACCTGTATGTATACAATCTTCCTGCATTGTTTGGTCATGGCATGGGCCGGATGCATTCACTGTCAGGAGCTGGACTTGAGCCCTTCCAGCCCTACAAGTCCGGGACCGAAGTCTCAAGCTGAAGCTGAGCTGCTCGAGCGCAAGACCACGGTGATGCGTTTGCAGAACAGGCTCCAGAAGATCTTTGCCAAACAGCTCACGCCGGGCAAGAGCGTGTGGTGCTGGCGCTATGAGAAGAACGAGGTTGACCACACCTTCCAAGCTTCCGTTCACATCTCCCTTTTGGATCGATCTTTCACCGGTGGATGGGCAGCAACCCACCAAGCAGCACAGATGGAAGCGTGCAACCAGTTGGCAGCGTTCCTGGACAGAGACTTTAAGGCCTGAGCAACAGATTGGCCAGCACAATGCTGAGACGTGATGTCGTGCCGACTGCTCGGAGGATTCTTGACCTTGGCTTGGCGGCCCAAGTTCCGGTAGATGCATGCCCAGAAATGTAGACCGTGGATATCCATGGATGTTTGTCGAATTTTTCGCCCAGCTGTAAGCACATGCCAATCGATTGCTCCTTTCCTTCTCGTTGGCAATTTTGATTTCTGGGAACATTTGCAGGTCCTGTTCCATGCAAACGCATGGGAACAGACGGGGCAATAGTTGCACGATATGTTGCACGGCAACACTCTCTCGGCTGCGGCTAACAAGGCAGTTTCCTTTAAATGATGTGATTTTCTTTAATATCGCTTCGAGCTTGGGAGGATGATTGAAGGCGTAGCTGTAGGATGTTTATGGCTGTTTTATGCTTGCTACAGTATTTGCGCAGCTGATCTTGAGCCCTCTCGAAACCACAAAATGTGGCCCCTTGGGGGTCGAAATTCTCATAGCGCGAAGGCAGGGACGACCCGTCCGGCCCGATGCCGCGACATTTCGCTAACCTCGGTGAAGCCGATGGTTATATATACTGTGTGCAGCACGGTACCTGACTGATTTTTGCAATGGTGAAGCATTCTGAACCACCAATAACCCGAAGCACAAGCCTCGTGGTGTTGAAGGGTGCTCCCAGCTCGAAAGAGCGGCATCTTGGAAAGGAGCATCTTGGAAAGCAGTGAGCAAAGGCCATAGGGCCATACAAGCATAGCCTCCAGTGATGCGACTTGTCACCTGAGTTATTGGCATTCTTACAGTGTGTTGCAATCTTTCACAGTCATCGCACTTTTTGGTCATTGCTTGCCAAGCCCTGCCAACCGAATCAGCATAGACACGCAGCAAGTACAATCGAAAATGTATTGGCAGCCTGGTGATTGTGGAGGAACGTGTGGATGGCATGGATGGCATGGATGGCTTTGGTGACCCTCATGTCTCCTCACCAACTTTCAGTTGGCGATTTGGCATTTCTTTTTACCCGAAACTCCAGGGCAGATGCGCCAGCTGAGGTCGGGTCCTCTGTCGCCAAGCTACAGGTGCCCCTGAAATCTCCGCAGGCAGCTGGAAGACATGCCTGGTCATGCCGCTCAAATCGGCCAATCGTTGTTGAAAGGTGTTGAAAGGAAGTTGCAGAATTACGGTCGTGACATTTGGGAGAGGCATGGCATTTCGTGAGTCTTTCCGATGTAATTGTAGATAATTGTAGACAAACAATGATAAATATGAGTGTGCCACATGTATGTGGATATATAGGTGGACGGACGGACAGACGGACGGATGGGTTCATAATATAATTACATACCATCACTCATATACACACATATGTATGTACACACACACATATACACATATATGTGTCATATGTGTGTATACATAAAAATAAATAAATAAATATATATTATGTATTAGTAAATGTATACATGTTAGCATATATATATAGATTTTGAAAATGCATATGCATGTAAATTATTCATATAGGTATGTGTAAAAATGTAGATGTGTATTTATGTATCTATGTGTGTATATATAAATATATGTTTATATGTATACATGTGTATATGTATACATGTACATATGTATATATGTATATATGTAAATATGCATTTATTTATGTATGTATATATGTATACATGTACATATGTAAATATGTATATATGTAAATATGTATATTTGCATATATATGTTTATGTAAATGCATTTGATTTTGTATATGTATATGTATATATTTATATATGCATGTATTTATAGATTTATAAGTTTATATTTTTGAATCTATATGTAAATATTTATATTTATCTATATATTTTTTCTTTTAAGCAATAATATAGCAATATTTATATATATTTCAAAATTTAAATATTAATGTATTGAAATAATAAGTGTCTGTATGTTTATTTATTTTTAAATTCATTTATATTTATATTTTTATTTATTTTTGTAATTTTTACATTCATATATTTCTATATTTTCACATTTATATATTTATATATTTTTTTAGATGCATACATTTTTTGTTTTATATTCACATATTTATATATCTAAATATTTATAAGTATATATGTATCTATGTATATATGTGTATATTAATATATTCTTACATTTCTAGAATTATATGTTTATATATTTATTGAACTATGCTTCTATACATTTATATATGTTTATGTATGTATATGTATATTTATATATATGTATATATTTTCATTTTTTTAAATATTCATATATTTTTTTATTTACAGTATACATTTTTCATTTTTATATACTTTTATATTTATTTTTTGAAATATTTATATATTTACATATTTATATATTTATATATTTACATATTTATATATTTATATATTTATATATTTATATATTTATATATTTATATGTTTTATGTATTAACATATAAACATATTTTTACATGTATATAATTAGATATTTGTACATTTATATCTGCATATGTATGTATATATGTTTATATTTTTATATTTATATTTTTTTTTTACATTTATTTATATATTGATATATTGATATGTTTTGATATTTATCTATGTTTATATTTATATATTTTAATATCTATATATGTTTACATTTAGATATTTTTATGTATGTATATATGCAAATATGTAAATATGTTGTATTTAAATAGTTTTAAATTTATAGATTTATATATTTATAGATTTATATCTAAAAATATATCGAAATATTTTTACATTTAAGTAATTATATATTTGTACATTGATAACTGCATATGTATGTATATATGTGTATATAAATTTTTCATAGTTATACATTTATATATATTTTTCAATATATTCATATACTTATTTATTTATATATATATTTTGTATATTTATATATTTATATATTTATATATTTATATATTTTTATATTTATATATTTATATATTTATATAGTTATATATTTATATATTTATATTTTAAAATATTTATATATCTATATATGTTGATATTTAAATATTTCTATGTATGTATATATGCATATCTGTATATATGTATATCTGTATATATGCATATATGTATATATGCATATGTATATATATATATGCATATATGCATATACGTATATATGTATGTATATGTGTATGTATGCATGTATGTATGTATGTAGGTAGGTAGGTAGGTATGTATGTATGTAGGTAGGTAGGTATGTATGTATGTATGTATGTATGTAATCATGTAATGTATGTATGTATGTATGTAATTATGTGATGTATGTAGACATATTTAAATATACATATCCTAGGCCTGATTTCATATATGTCCCAATATTTCCAGAGAGGGCATGTCTTCCTAGGCTGCATGGAGCGCCGCAGCTTGGGTCCATCCACTGCCACTGGTGGTGATGGCTGCTCGTGGACGAGGTTCTATGAAGATGCCTCGGAAAACGTTTGCATACATATATTTACAAGACATCAATAGAAATCAATGTTTTGTTTTTGATCAGACTTGCAGTTTTACACCCAATTCCTGGATGAATCGGGCGGACAACATGGCGCCTTCAGGTGGCGCCGGGAAAGGCACCGGCAAACGGCTTGCAGCCCAACGACTAGAGAAACCGATTGCATGCAGTTCATGCAGTCGGATATGATGCTTTTTAAAGGTACCTTAATGATAAACAATAACATGTATATAGATAACAGATAGTAGCCTGGTGTCACTCGGAAAATAGTTCTTTTGAATGAGGTAAACCAGTTTCATAACCCCACTTGAGGATGGTGACTATTGGCCCATGCCGAGGCGCCAGGGCAAAGCAGCTAAGGTGGAGGTGGCCACCAAGTAGGAAACCCAGAGTCCAAAAGGGACACTTTGCATGGATCCCTGGGAAACAGCGGTGCCATGCTGCGCAATCTCAAAGGCTATGCCGGGTGGCCTTATTATTTTGTACAGATACACACAAATATAATTCCAAGCATTTCCATACATGTGCCATGTAACCAACGGCCCTTTGAAACTGTCAGTGGATCATTTTTCGCGTATTTCGAGAGCACTGGCTTACCCTTACCCTATCCTGTAAGATGCTCCCCGCAGTTGGGCCCAAAGAAAATCACAAAAAGGCCTGACTTTTGTGTGACCAGCGGTGCAGTGTGATGTCGTCTGCTGTTTTTTTAAAGAAGGCCCGGCTGCAAAGAACTCTTGCACCACAGCAGTGCAAACTAGCTAGCCATGACCTTTGATGAACATTAAGACGTTAATGCCTCCAGAATGGCTCCGGACAAGAACAAAGAAACCCAACCAAGTCGTGTCTTTCCACAAACCCAAATCACATTTCTGGTGTTTCTGCAGGTGGAATCCTTCCTGAAGCGAATCCGGAAATGGGACACTGAGTTCTTCTGCGTGGGGAAGGCGGCCAGCGAGGTCTTCAACGTGCCTAAGCCCGAGGAAGTGCTCCCACGCATCACCGCCAACCTGGACTACTTCTGCGTGAACTATGCGGTGCTTTGCCAAAAAGACACCGGATGTCACCTGGGGACCTGGGGGGATGTTGGACAGCAAACGAGGTGAGCGAAGGGCAATCAATGTTGATCACATATGTATAATGTATATATATATGTATATACACACACGCGCACACACACATATATATATAGATATAGATATATAGATATAGATATATAGATATAGATATATAGATATATAGATATATAGATATATAGATATATAAATATATAGATATATAGATATATAGATATATAGATATATAGATATATAGATATATAGATATATAGATATATAGATATATAGATATATAGATATATAGAGATATAGAGATATAGAGATATATAGATATATATAGATAGATATATAGATATATAGATATATAGATATATAGATATATAGATATATAGATATATAGATATATAGATATATAGATATAGATATATAGATATATAGATATATATATAGATATATAGATATATAGATATATAGATATATAGATATATAGATATATAGATATATAGATATATGATCTAATCCATGGTATAAGCAGTCCACACACACACACAGAGTTGCATGCCTCCATGATCGTGTGTTTTTGGGCGCATTCTGTATTTTGGCAGCCCTGCCCTTCAGTTGCAGTGCAGATCCTTTCCTGAGGCATAGAAGCCACGCATTTCTCAGCCAAGGTTTGCCTTGCCATCTTCGCTCTAACGGCAATTGTTGTGCAACCGCAGCTTTTGGTACCTCGAACCAACCTTGCTGGTGTCAGGGTATTTGTTTTCACGCCTTCAGTGTGGAATCTTTTGGTGTTGTGGAGGTTTGTTGCATGGTGTGTTTCTGAACTGGGTTGACGGCTGAAGATGGCTGAAGGGTGTAGATTTATATACCCACGCAGGCACCACGAGCAGTATATATTATATATATATCAGTGCGCACAAGACTTTTAATAATGCGAGCATGTGTACAGAGGAAAAGGATTGAGAAGGTGGGCGTTGCATTGGACTCTTCCTTTCGCAGCTGAGGTTTTGGTGTGCGTATTCTCCGGCTTATGGTATGGGCTCCTTACTCGGCCGAATCATTGGAGACTTCAGGCCTGCAGATGAGAGGATTGGAGCGACCCATGACCCAAACACGATTTGCTTCGATCTTGGTGGACCTTCAGGTTCAGAAACAAAGGCTCCATGGAATTCCTTCTGCAGCTCTTTTTTTTTTTCTCTCTCCTCCTTTGACACTAAGATTCCATGAGATTTCATGAGATTCACGGCCAGGTGGCTCAAGCCTTGGTCACAAAGCGACATTTGATCTACGGCCTGGGAGGGCTCACTGCCTTGGTGGTGCTGATCTTCTATCGCATCATGATCTCGGCCATCATCGGGGCGTCCTTGTCTTTCGCGCGAGGCCCCAGTGACGGGCTCCCTGGGGGTACGTTAGGAAGCCCGGTAGAGTTGTTGTCTGTTGTCTGTTGTCTGTTGTTGTCTGTTGTTGTCTGTTGTCTGTCGTCTGTCGTCTGTCGTCTGTCGTCTGTCGTCTGTCGTCTGTTGTTGTTGTTGTTGTTGTTGTTGTTGTTGTTGTTGTTGTTGTTGTTGTTGTTGTTGTTGTTGCCGTCGCCGCCGCCGGCGGCGGCGTCGTCGTCGTCGCTGTTGCTGTTGCTGTTGTGGTTGTGGTTGTGGTGGCTTTCGCCGTCGCCGTCGCCGTTTTTGTCGTCATTACGGCGTCATTTTCAACAAATAATGATTTTTGCCAACAGGAACAACATCTTCCTCCGGCGACTCCGAAGCCTGATGCTGAGGTTTTGCTCCATGCAGGGCTGCACACAGTCCCAGCCAATGCCAAAGGCAAAGTGGAGGAGGATCCCCAAGAGCAGGCCTGAGATAAGATCTCAGCCCCAATTCGTTCGGCTGGCGACCAGTGGCCCAGGCCGAAATGGAAGTTGGCGCCTGCAGGTTGTAAGTTAGTGGCAAGGCCCAAACCTGATGCAAAAGGTGCTGACACTCAGCCGGTGGTGCAGGCATCTGGCATTTTCTCTCCTAAATTCAATCGACCCTCAGCTTACACAGCGCTGGTGAGAAAAAAAGGTAGTTTCAGGAACTTTCTCAGAACTTGAGGAACTCCTTCTGGTGCACAATGTCACTGCAGGCAGCTGCACAAATCTGCCTATAGTTTGCAGGCGGTGAGAGCTTCGAAATCATTTAAGAGATTCATTTATTGTGATTTTTCATTCTTGCAGTTAGAGTTGGCACCTTTGGTATTGGAATTCAAGATCCGTCGATTGAGATTCTTGGTACAGGACACATGGCGCCCCTCGTGTCACACGGCTGGATTCTCTGCGTGAACCGCAGCACAGGCTTCAAACAAAGCCAGACATTTGCAGAGTGGCGAGACAAAATCAGAAGCCAAGTTTGGAAGGTGGCACAATCCGCAACCCAATCACAGAGCAAGCAGTCTGAAGCTGAACGATACCAGGCGGATTCAACTAGATTCAAACTAGATTCAGTTCTTCTTAAACAGATTCAAATCGATCAAGCGGCATCAACAGTCAATATCTCATCAGTTCCTATCCTAGTGGTCCTAGTTTTGCTGAAGATTTTGGTGCCAAGCTCGGCATACCTCGGCCGACGCTTTCGGCGAACATTCGTGGGCCGCCATGGGGGCCATGGGGGACTTGCCAGATCAGCTGCAGCAGGTTTTGCAAGATCCTTTGCAGCAGTGGGTGCTCCAAATTGGCTGTTCAGTTAATGTGGCACCTCACATTAACTGCTAATGTTTGGACTTGGAGATCAGGCTTTAAATGGCTTTACCTTGAAAGTGCGTCAGGATTGCGTCAGGTTGGAAACCAGTTCAACTCCAAGCTACCTTTGCTTGGAGCAAAACCTCGGCCTAGGAGCATCGCAAGGAACTCTTAGACCGCCTGGATGCCTGGCTTCGGAACTTCGACATGAACGGACCACGCCGGCTTTACCCTCCACCGCAGAAGGCAGGGAGCGGCAGGTGTGCAATGATAGAAAGCAACGAAGTTTCAGGGTGGGAGATGGGCCTGGAGTCACTTTGAGCGTGGAAAATAATCAGTAGTTTCTGAGTCTATCGCAGTCTTCAACACCATTTCATGATATTTTCAACATCCGCTGCCATGAATGAAACCTAAGTGGCACTTTCAACCCCCAGGCCGGAACGACTGACTCCTTCAAGAACACTTGGGAGTCTCCGGATTTGAGCCACCTGCTGTCTTCATCCACTCCCGGAGGGGCAGTAGAATCTGAGGGCACCAGCGTGCCACAGGCAACTGCTGAGCCCCAAGAGGAGCGCGACTGCCAGCAAAAAGCAGTTCGGATTTTTTTGGATTTCTTTACGGAAATGGTTTGCTATGGTTTGCTCATGTTTGCCTTGTGGTTCAGTAGTGTTTCATGCTGATGCATTCTACTGGTCGCTGGAAAACAGGCATAGACGTTTCAGATTATGAAGATGGCAGACGTATTTATTGACCATTGATGGCCATTGTGCTCTTTGCGTTGTTTAGGAGCTCAGTCAGTACCAGCTGGCTCAGCAAGCACACAGTCGTGTCGTGGCCGACTTTCAAGTGCAAATGCAGTCAGTCAGTGAAATGGTCGAAGCTTCGCTGCATCGGGCCAAAAACCCCGAGCCCAGGATGATTGTGATGCTGTGATGATGCACGATTAATACGAGAATCTACAAGATTAGATTATGATAGATTATGTTTAATTGAAGGCATGTGCTTTGACCAGAGTTTATGGTCGACTTTGTTTGAATCAAATTGCATTGCGGGCTTTCCAATCTTTCCAGGAAGCTTCCACAGCATTTCAATCAAATTCGTTGCCTTCCAGGAAACAGTCGCCAGTACAAATTTCCAGCGCTTCCGCAGAAAGACCTCATCTATTGTGACTCGAATGCAGACATTGAACACTTCTGCCCGATAACAATGGGTGAAAATGGGAATCATGGGATTGTGAAGCTCGGCTGGAAAAGATGAAGGATCTCAAGCTGGTTGTTTGATGTACTCACCTGGCAACCTAACAATGAAGATTATCAATATTGCATACGAACGGTTGTATAAGCCACCCAAAAAAAGGAGGTTTACCACGCCAGGTGGAGTCCTCAAGCTTTGGCGCCTTTTTCGCTTCGATGGTCATTAGCAACTCGATTTTGATCGGTGTCAGCCTGGAAGCGCAAGCGGTGCAAGGAGATAACTTTGCAGGTGCGGAGGAAAACTGCGGGAAAACCAGGGTTATTTCACCATATTTCACCAAGGTTCCTTACCAAACTGGTCTGTTTGAGGCGGGGCAACTCGTGCAGACTGAATTCGTTCCAGTCCACTTTGGACCCAAGTGATGTTTTGAAGAAGATTGGCATCGTAATTACTATATTTACTATATCTTATTATGTCATTGCAACCCTATGATCGATGTCGATGAAACGGATGCTATCGGACGTTTGCAAATGATGGCTCTTCGAAAGGCGAACTCCTCTTGCTGTTGGGCAACCTTGTGATATTTGATGACATCTTTAAGCCTGGATACTATAATGGCAATTATTTACAGGACTGCTAACACCCTTATCACAGGAAGTTTAGTTCGCAAACTTCTGAGTTACGGTCAGTCTTGTCATCATGTCAACCACGGATGGGCTCGTCAAGTCGTGGGTAAAACATGATAAAACCATTTCCTGGTGCGAAACCTCGTGTTTTTAGAAGTATGGTGGGTCCTGGGGTCGCGAAAGTAGGGTCTGTGTTTCTGCGGGTGTGGGCTTTGATCTCGGAAAGCTGTTGACAACAAGTGCACGAGACTGTAGCGAGAGCTCCTTCATCACGAAAAAAAAGCCGACACGTTCGGAGTAGTGCAGGAGCGATTTCTGGCCCGAAACGGGGTCGATTCGATGGTGCATCCGTGCTATGCAAACGGGTGTGAGAAAAAAACGCTGTGGCACGGCACGGCGCAGAAAAGCGTTCGTGACGCGGTGATTGCAGCCGGAGACATTGTAACAGCCTAGTGACAGCTGCACGAAAGGTAGCTTTTGAGCATAGTGCCGCGATGGGGCAACCGCCTCGTGTCTGTGCGGGAACTTGGATCGCTGGTCTCGCCTGTGAACGGGATGTCATTCCATCGGGCTCCTCCTCCTCCTCATCATCATCATCATCATCAACCATCATGATCATCATCATCAGCAGCAGCAGCAGCACAAGCAGAAGCATCATCATCATCATCATGATGATGATCATCATCATCATCATCATCATCAACCATCATGATCATCATCATCATCAGCAGCAGCAGCACAAGCAGAAGCATCATCATCATCATCATCATCATCATCATCAGCCATCATGGTCATCATCATCATCAGCAGCAGCAGCAGCACAAGCATCATCATCATCATTATCATCATCATCATCATCATCATCATCATCAACCATCATGATCATCATCATCAACCATCATGATCATCATCTTCATCATCATCATCATCATCATCAAGCTCCTCACCACCATCCTTCTCCTCCTCCCCCACCTCATCCTCATCCTCATCCTCATCAACATCATCGTCATCATCACGATCATACTGATCACGATCATGATCATGATCATGATCATGATCATCATCATCATCATCATCACCGTCGTCATCATCAGCAGCAGCAGAAGCATAAGCATCATCATCCTCATCATCATCATCATCATCACCATCATCAAGATCAAGCTCCTCACCACCACCCTCCTCCTCCTCATCCTCCTCATCATCCTCCTCCTCATCCTCCTCCTCATCCCCATCCTCATAAACATCATTCATCATCATCATGATGATGGTGATGATGATCATCATCATCATAACGAACATCAGCGTCATCGCGATCATTGCCATCATCGTGATCAACGTGGCCGTCAACACCAGTGTTATCATCACCATCATCATCGTCATGATCACCAATATCATCATCATGATCATTGATCATCAGCAGGCTACTGTTCGTAAAAGCTGCTGCATGTAGAAGCACCCCTGTAGAACGGGGTGCCTGCGTGAAAGCTTCTCTATGTAAAAGCATTTGTGTTTAAAAGCTCCTATGTGTCAAACAATCTTTGTGTACAAACTTTTCTGTGTAAAAAACGTGTGTGTGTGAGTAAAGAACTTCTGTGTACAAGCTTCTCTGTGTAAAAGCTTTGGTGTGTCAGAGCTTCCGCATGTAACAGCATCTCTGTGTCAAAGTTTCTGTGTGTAAAAACTTGTGTGTGTAGAAGGACCTCTGTGCAGCGGCGTCTCTATATAAAAGCTTCTCTGTTCCTTTGCCTTGTCCCCCTAATTGAGACGCCTAAAGGTTTGTTTCCTAAAAGGTGCATGCATGTGCGCCGTTGGGTCTCTTTTCTTGTGCGCGTGAGTCTCGTTTCCTGCGCGCGCAGATGAGCACTGTTCCCAGGGTTCAACCATCCATGTTTCCATTCACTGATTCACGCATTGATCCATTGATTAATTCATCGTTTAATTGATTCACCCAGTGGTTCAATGATTCGCTCGCTCACTCTTTAACTCATGCACAATGTAAGATACATTAAGATACTCTGCAGCCGCTGTGGCAATCCATGGGCAGGTCAGGACCTTCTGTTGGGATTCAATATCTTCTATGCGGCGGTGTTTTCGATTGAAGCGGGGATGCGCCTGCTTTCGCAGGGACCGCTGGCATATGTTTGGCAACATTCCGATTGGGCTTGGAACTGGTTAGACATGTTTGCCGCTCGACCAAACCAAAAAGGTTCTTCTTTGGCTTCTAGGCCCTAGGCCCTAGGCCCTCGAGTGAATTTGATCCCGATCTTGGCACGTAAGTGGTCCATGTCGGCCCTACCTTCTCACCAATACATCCAATCGGCTCCATCAACTGCAAAGTGTTTCTAATCCTGATTGCATCATGGCCCAACGTGTCATTGCTGCATCTTCCCTGACAGCTTCGGTTCAAGAAAGGTCGTCATCTCTTCATGGATGGAGCTCATCGTAGACATGTTCAGCAACAGCCGCACGGTGGGTGGAACGAACACGAATCTCCGCTGCTCGCTTCCAGTTGGTGAAATGCAGTTCACGAGTGGAGTTTGATCCCAAGTGTGTTGCCAGGACCTGTTGGCATGCCATCCCATGGCGTGACATTTGTATCGAGGGTTTTTGTTTGAATGTGGAGCCGTGTGGAGCCTATTTGCTTCACTATTGCTTCACCAGAGGGAAAGACCAACCCACTACCAGCGAAACATGAGCAAACGCGACGAAGCATGATGAAGTATGATGAAGTATGATGAAACTATGAGACAAAGCTCCAGGGAGGAAATGGTTGCCTTTTCTTATTTGGAAACCTTCCCCCACAACTGAACTGTGTAGGGTTGAGGCATAAGCAGCTCATTTCACCCCAGTCCGCCCCAATCCCAAGGTGTTTTTCGCCTATTGCGCGTGGGCCGATTGGTTCGCGTGGTGCGGGTTGTGCGAGTCGTCAAGTTCTTCCGTTCCTTGAGGATGAGGGAGTGTTGTTGAGGGTTGGTGTCCAAGAAGGCGGTGTTAGTATCAGTATTGGGGGCCTCTTTCTGGGGGAGTAGGCAATATATATAATTGTATATATATATATATATACAAACTAAATCTAAATATTAGATGTAATATATTTATAAATAAACAAATGTATATATATATATATGTGTGTGTGTTGCATTTTAGTGCATATTATACTATATATATAATATATATATACTATATATATATAATATATATAATATAATATAATATATATATATAATATGATATATACATATAATAATATATATATATATAAATAATATATATAATATATATATATATAATATAATATAATATATAAATATAATATATAATAGAATATAATTATACATACATTACTTTGGATGTATAATCACGATGTATTTGGGGGGATGGGATTGTTCATAGCCTAGCGGTATCCTAATCGCATGCCACATCTGACTTCAGGACCTTGGTTCAATCCCTGGTGGGTACTCTCAAGGCGGGGCTCGATGTTGGAAGTTGCCTTGGCCGCCGAATTGGCCCGGCCAGGCTTTGGTTTGGTCGATGGTTTTGCTGGCCATGATCATCTACATCTTTGCCATTCTGTTCCCTGACCGGACAATCTAACCAGCACAGACACATTCAATCAACACATTATATATATATAATATATATATATAATATTATAGTTATTTTTCAGTATGTAAATGTATTTATACATAAGTATACACACATATTTTTTAATACATAGTTATACATAATTATTCTTCAAGTTATGTATACATTTTAATATATATATATAACTGTATTTAATAACAATAATATATATATATATATAAATATATGATGATCATAATATTAATAATAATAAACAATAATAAGAATCATGATATAAATGATACGAACACATATAATAATCATAATAAATAATAATAATCGTGATAATATATAGTAATATTTTGTATAATAACAACAATAACAACAATGGGAAAAGGACAATAATAGTAACACAAATAATAAGAATAACAACTATATATGAAATTACATATCCATATTTATATAATATTATGAATATCGCATTTTTTTGCCTTATATATATATATGAAATTATAATAACACTACAATAATAAAGATTTGCATGGGGATGTATATTAAGTCTTATGTAGATACATTCTTGCACACACACACAGACACAGAGAGACACAGAAACACACACACACAGAAACACACATACATACATTACGCTAAGTTACGTTACCTTACATTACATACATATGTGCAGGCCACACACGCACACAACCGCATACATACATGCATGCATTGCATTAGAATACATCGTGTCACATCACGTCACATAATCAGGTTCACGGATACCGTGTTGGGTTACCTGAATGAGAAACCTGCGGCCTTTGATGAGCGCTTGGACTTATTCTTCGGATCTTTGATGCCCGGCAGCAGGACGACAGGGCTGTGCAGCACCGAAACTTTTTGTGAGCCCGATGTGGTCTACAGTGTGCCCGCTGCCCAATGTGTTTGCACACATGTTTTTGATGGTTTTTGCGTGCCTCACACATGCACGCAGCTCATTTTGGAAAGAAATGTTTTTTGCTTTGTATTTCTTTGTTCCTGATGTTCCTGTGACTGCCAGTTGGCCAAGGACTTCATCAGTCGCCACTTTATTTCGCGCGATTTCAAACGGGATGAACTGGGGCGATGGGGCGGATGCTTTGGCATCCATCGATGGTGGCATGTTCTGGGTGATGATTCTCTACTTTTACATTGCCTTCTGCAGTGTCTTGGTGGCTTCAAGATGGCTTCAAGTCGGCTTCATTTGTCCAAAGGCCATTGATTTTGTTGTTTTTTGACACCTTTCCGCGGTTTTCTCAACATTTTCAGATACTTCGATATGAACTTTCAAACCTTTCCCCTTTGGTCTAGCAAGATAAGGGTTTGAATTGAACTCTTTTATTGATTCACATTGTAAGCGAGGCTTTGCGGTCCTGAATGCGACTTGGCATGTCGAAGCAAACTTCTCTTTGGCAATGTTGGGCTGTTCTTGTCCGGTTGATTGGTGCAAACATGTGCAAACAGTACATGCAAATGACTTAGCAGAATCTTATAATAATATATTGAATATATTGAAACACTAGTAAATCATATTGAAGACACCCCCATCATCAATCTTCACCTCAGATTTTGTGTCCATGTTTCGTTTTGACTTTTCGGCGCAATTCTGCAGAGACTTGTGCAACTCAGCCAGGTCATGACCGGAGTGACTGAGCTGACGAAGTAGTGAGATTTTGTCCTTTTCTTTTCTGGCCGGGTCTTCAATTGCAGGCACATATTTTATGGTTGGCTTTGGGTTTAGAATGATTTCGAATATTTTGTAGTTTGGTGAGGTTTTCTGCAACAGCGCCATCAAAGCCGCTGAACGCGATCATGAAATGCAAGTTTGGGCCTTGATGCAGACACGCAGGGAGCTACGTGAGCAAGTTGAGTTCTTGTTCCACAAGATTGACCCTGGGGCCTGTTTCGGATGTTATGCTATGACTGCTGATGGCTGTTGTAAATGTAATGAAATATCACTATATATCACTATTTTTTCATTTTTGCTTTAGTTCTTTGATGTTATTTGGAAGACGTGCCACACATAATTGTCTAACACGCATCTAACGCAAAAAGGTCTGCGACATGCATTTCTTTTGCCATCTTTTGCCTATCTAACCAAGGATAGGCATGGTCGAGGAAAAATCACCATCCAGGACTTCGAAAATAATTTTGATGACGAAGCAGTGGTGGCTTTCTTTGCATCCATCGAGATCAGTGCAATGGATGCGTGGACTCTCTTCCTCACTCTTGACGTGGATGGAGACCACACCGTAGGCCCGGATTTTGCGCTTTCAATTTTCAAGTCATGGATGCGCAAAAAATGTCGGCCTGTGCAATGTCATCGAAGAATCAGCAATTCCTGCCAAATGGCACGCTGGTTTCGGTTTGTTTCTTCGCTTGTTCTCGTATGTGACGGTATCTTGGATACTATTGATCCTCCTTGCAATTTCCTCTAAAAAATCGCAACAATTAAGCTTGGGAATATGGTGTGTTTTAGGGCCCTCCTTTGTTTAGGGGTACCTACCCAATGTAAACGTTTGCAATTTCTTAGAGAACCTTGGCGTCAGCGATTCTATAGAGATTTCATATTGAAAACAGGTTGACACTGAAAACTTGGAGCAAGAGCAACTGGAGTATTCAGGTCAGCTGTCAATGAATGAGACTTGGGGAATCTGATTTTGTAGAAGGCCAACAAACGCCCCCAACCTAAAAAAGGCTTACGAGAGTGACTTGGTGTCAGCTATTCTATAGAGAATGATGCTCATAAACAACTTCAGTGACAGCAATTCTATAGAGATTGTCGACTTGAAAATACCCTGGTGTCTCTGAATGTATATATATATGCATTTTCAAAAAGAGGGTCAACGTTTTCAGATTTACCACTATAAAATTGCTCACACCAACACTTTCACCTAATTCACATGGGGATACTTTTGCAACCAATGCTGTTGCAGGTGTTGATGAATTTGTGGAGAGATGTGCTTTGTCGGCATTAGTGATTTTATCCGGCAAAGACCTGACTTGATTGTGTGAAATGAGAAGCATTTGCATCCCAGGTCATGCCAGACACTGTCGCCAGACATGTTGAGTAGCTTTTGAATGGACCAGTGAACGCATTGAAAGCAATGCAAAGGCACTTTGTTCACAGAAAAGTGTTTAGATGTGTTTAGTATGCCTCATTCCCCAACGGTATTCTCGAAAAACAAATCGAGCTTGAGTCAAGCCAATGTTGGCCCAGGCTTACAATTGCATGGGCCGGCCCGTTCCACGGACCTTTTTGCCCTTCGTCAACAGACGGCCACTTTGCTGCTGCAAGATGATACCCATGACATCCCATGACCCACTGTAGCCCGGAGTCCATCGTACTGGATGATACTGGATGCATCCCCGCCGGAACAGACTTCCTTCTTGGTGGTTTGGAGATGTTTGGAGACATCCCTTCGTAAAAGGTGTTGCTGTTGCTGTGTCTGCCTCTCTCCCTTTCTCCCTTTCACTGTTTCTTTTTCTCTCGTTCTGGTTCATGTTCTGGTTATGGTTCTGGTTCTCTCCCCATCGGCAACTGTCATACCGAATCATACCAACTACGGATGGATATGGTTGGATTGCGGACCGTTAGATCATGTTAGATCCCTTGAAACAGCCCTAGCCCAAGACCACCCGAAGTCAGTGCCGTGACGGCGCAGCTTAGGAGAAGATCATCACACAGACGCACCAACTCATGGATGGCCAGAAACATATCGACCGCCAAGTTGTGCAGCTGTCGCACGCTCTGGTTGCAATGCAACAAGCTGCACAAGAACCGCGTTGGATATGATGATGTGAGCCAATGCCCTCAGTACAATAACCAACTATTTAAAAGGCTATTCAAAATCAATCAAAATCATCCCAAGAGGTCTTCCTGATAGAACCCACTTGGAGATTGTTTGTGATTGGGTTACGGCATGTTACGACATGAGCTGTTTTGGCCACATTTCAGAGAGCTGCTTGCAATGCTGAGTCATTCCCCTATCAATGGCAGATCAACATCAACAACATGGTTTAACATGTTCTAACAATATCCCCAAATTCCCAAAATGTTCTATGGTGTTTTTGGTTTTTAATGCGTTCTTGGCACGGAGATTCAAGGGCTGAGATCGGTCTCAGATCCCAGGGACATCGTGCTGCCAGTAGATGGTAGTGGGTGGCGCCTTATCTCATGTGCGCGAGCTGTTTCACAGTAGACGAGAGTTTGAAGGCTTTGGGAGCGATGTCATGTGATGCCAGCTGTTTTTTTCCCCTGTATTTACCCATTCCATGGCATATTTAAATGGCATATCACCCAAATGCAGATTAAATCGATGCCTGCATGGATGGCATGGGCTTCTCATGGGATCCCATCGGTTTGAACCTGCATCTCTTTATGCTGGTGGCATTTGGCGGCCGAAGCCGTTTTTTTGAGGTCAATTCCTAGAAGCAGTATCATGATGTATCATGCTTATTAATCCCTCAACTAGAGATGAAAGTATATAACTACCCTTACAGGCTCACAGGCTAAGGCGTGGGTTCATAGCGGATTTTGTTTGCTGCTTACTCAACGCACTGTAGGGTGGTGCCTCGCTTGTGACCATAGAAAAAAAACACGTTTATTGAATAGACAGAATTTCTGCCGGGGGGGAATTCAGAGTGATCCTCAATTTCGACCCCCAAAAAACATTCTCTTGTGCCCCTATCAAGGATCACCTGTGACTCCAGTCATTCGTCATTCATTTCTAGGGTCGCAAGTGAGGCGCCACCCGAGTACTGGGTCATTCCCTCAAGACCTTTGCAAGACCTTTGTCATGGGCAAATTGTTTTTTTTTGTCGTGTCTTAATGGGCTTCAGATGGCTTTTGTTCAACGAGCCTGGAACCAAAGGCAGAAGAACAGAAGAACCGTTGCTTCCCTGATCCCCTCGTGTACCACCCGGACAAATTGCTCACTCCCGTGCAGAATATGCTACAAACAAAAATGCTAACGACATTTAAATATGTGAAGGGCGGGCCAAACTGCCAGGCCCCGGAGGTAGTATGAAATACCAGTTCGTATATTTAAATGTAGTTGCTGTATGCTTAAATGAATTGGATTCTGTATGTTTAAATGGCCGGGCGGGCCAAGGAAAACCTTCCCGGAGGTAGTCTAAAATACCTGTTCGTATATTTAAAAGTCCGTATATTTGAATGTAGTTACCCTATATATATATGTATGTATGTATGTATGTGTGTGTGTGCGCGTGTGTATAGATATACATATGCATAGATATGTGTATATGTCATGTACATGATTCCATGATCGTGCAAAGTTGAATCAGAAGAAGCACCCATTGAGCAGTAGGAAGACTGAAGGACTTCAATCCGTTGCTGGACCAGGTTAGTTTGCTTCACATGCGGAAGGTACCAGTATTATCAGTTCCCAAAGCCTGTGCGCTGTTGACCTCACCGCAGAATCAATCTATATCGAACGTTTTGCAACCCAACTGCGGCTGTCTGAAAAGTTGTAGTTCATTGCCAGGAAGGTTTGCAAACGCAACTTCTGAGCAACCGAACATTTCAGAAATTGGCAGAAGCAGTCTTTTTGGAAAAAGGCTGCCCGCCCATCACTGCGGCAGTGCTGTGTTCTCGATGTCAAGAGCATGGCATATCATGGCATGGCGTGTTGCTTCACTGAGGGTGCAACTGACTGGGGGCCTACATCGCAGTCGGTCCATCAAGGTCAGCTGTGACATGCTGTGACCATAGATGATCATGCCACACACCCCTAAACCCACTGGATTGTCTCTCTGGCACAGGTGCCAGGTGTCTTTCTGCGGCCAATGATGTCGCAGGCACAATCGGTCACGGTCACCTTGTCACGTCACCAGTAATTTTTCAAGCATGCCAAGTGGGTCATTTTGAAATTTTATTCCTGGCTTCCCATGCCTCAGGCGGGGTGGGCCATATCATAGAATGATGTAAACGGAAAACACTTCTTTAGGTGGCTGGTAGTGAGGAGCCGCTACCCTCCAAGATCCGACCAGCTACTCGCAGCACATTTTTTTTCAAACCAACATTAATATGCCTCCTGCCTCTGTATTTGTTCCACTTCCTTCCACTTCATATCCCGTCATTCAACCATTATCAGATCCAATTCCATATCCATACTGTGGATGATTTTCTTTTCTCAATCTATTATGTCCATCCCGGATCCCAGCTCTCTCTATACACTTCTGTTCAGACCTTTGCCTCGCAGGTGCGCGAGGCACTCTTCAACATGCTTGGAGCCTGTGATGTGTTCCTTGAAAGGCTTTTGGCCGAGGTGGCTCCAGAAAATAGAGTTTTCCAGAAATGAGGTATGCTATGTATGCTTCCCAATGGCCATTCTAGTGGGAAAAATACGATGGATTTAGCAGCCAGCATGTCTAGTCAGAACCCGTTCGGATTGCAGCATTTTCAGACCAACCCAATCAGATTTACATACACTCATCCAACTCCAGCTCATCAATGCTCATTGTAAACATGTGCTACAATCAATATCTTAAATGTTGTATAATATTTAGCTTTGAAGAACAATAGTGGGAGTATAGCCAACAATCTTGGAATATACCTTGGCATCGCAATATTCCCATTTGACCACCCTTCTTTTGGATGGGGTTTTCTCATGTTTTGTCTGGGAAAAAGCTGTGGAGAGTGCCTTTCCGGTCACCTCCCAGGTTCGACAATGAGACCTCCCGTGTGCTGGATCTCTTCGCCGGCTCTGGCATTGTGGGATTGGAATCCGCCTCCCGCGGTGCTGGTGTGGGATCCCGCGTATTCAAAGCGACACTGGCCATTGCCGGGGAGATTAGGATCCTGAAAAAACTGGCTGGTGTACACAAAAATAGAACAGTATGTTTTAATATCTTTATAATAATTATATAGTTTCTAATTGATTGGAACCTACTTTTCTGTATATCTCTTTGTTGTGGTTGTGATAACACCGAAAAAGGGTCAGCAATTCTATGGGCCCCAAGCCATCCCCAGCTGAGTTTCTACATGCCTTGCACTATTCGATGTTTGGGATGGCCAAGGTCATGTGACGTTTGTGGATGCTTCGCCAGTTTGTGCGAAGGCCATTGAAGAGAACTGCAAGGCGGGCCTGGCGGGCCTTGGACATATTTGGGGGCATCCCAGTTAGATCAGTTAGCAAGTGGGCAATAACCACAACCATCCACAACCCAGTTCAATTAATATAGAATATTATAGAATACTACCCCAGTTACAGTGGTTATTCACCACTTTAGCATGCACATCCAAGTAGCTTGTTCCCATTGATTAGGTTCCAACATGTTCCAACTGCCTTGAGGCGCTTGGTGTCGAGGATAGCACTGCGGTGGCATGCACCAAAGCAGTGTGAAACCAAGGATGGTTCCAAGTCCATCAAGCATGCACCATCAAAATCTAGTGGCCCTGCGTGCCAGCTGTTACCCTTGCACTTTCCCTAGCATAAGCCTAGCATCTTGTCGCAAAAATCTGAGACTCAGTGCAAGAAAAAGCAACCATGCATCGGAGCTTACCATTCTCTACAAGATGATGAAGATGGGATTCATTTTTGGATGATTTCTAGGCGACTGGATCGACTGGATCAGTCAATACTTTCCTGGGGACCATCCAAATGGCGGGACGAACGTCCACAACCGGAAAAAGCCAGGGTGAATTCTTCCATACCCATGGGTTGATTCCAAGATACTTGGCATTGGGTCAACCTCTAAGAAAACACAATCACATGAACTGTTCTCCATATCCTCACGGGGTAGCAGAAAACCCACCAAGGAGCAGTTCCTGGCCACCCCAGTCAGGGACCCAGAACACAATCTTGGTTGGATGGGATAGCCATAGCACCTAAAAATGCAAGTTTAATAATAGTTTAATGAGGAAAATTGATGCTCAAATATAAGATGTTATATTTTTAGGCACCCAATTTTCAGACAAACCCGTCTGAGGAAGCAGCAAAAACAGATGGGAAAGCAGAAGCATGGGGGTTTAGTATGCTTCAACTGCCAGCAAATAGCCAACCAACGGAAGCAGTTGGCGGTTTCCGGTACTTGTGCTTTTTCATGCTATGACCTGGAAAATCCATGAAAATCCTGGAAATACAGCCGCCCCATGCTGGTCCATGCTGTGACCAAGGAGAAATTTGGGGCAGAGCGACCTTTCGGCTTGGTGACGGCGTGGGGATGTCCAGCAACAAAAAGACCAGGGACGATGGATGGAATCCCCATGATATAGAATCCCACTAAAAAAAGGGCTTAATATTCCCATTTATATCGTTTTATATCCATTTATATTATTCTCACTGATGTCCATTTATTATATGGAAGTACTAGTGACATACTTATATATAATGATATGTATCTTCATTATCATTGATGGTCATCCCATTAAAACACATATACTGGTTGGTGGTTTGGAACATTTTTTATTTTCCCATATATTGGGAATAATCATCCCAACTGACTAATATTTTTCAGAGGGGTAGGTATACCACCAATCAGTATAATATTCCCATTGCTGTAATTGCTTGTAATGATTTGATTATATAGAAATTATATAGTTATATAAATGATCGTCCCGTGGTCTTTCATGATGGTGGGATGACCACAACTTGACCATCATACTTGTCGAGACAAAACGGCCTAGGACACCGCCATATGAGGAGGTGTTCGCAGCTCAATGCCATCAGATGATAGTTGGATAGTCGAAAGATGTCGAAAGCACAAATTGCCAGGTTGAAACGAGTTGAAACGAGTTGAAACGAGTTTACCTCACAGAATTGGTTTATGTTTTTTCCCCTAGAAACAGCACTCTTGCTCACATAATTACGGCTCTCTGGTTCACACAAACTTGTCGGCAAGAGGTCCCACACGCTCGCGTGAACATGACATCCGAGAGATTTTTGTTTCTACAAGAGACTTGTGAATTTGGGGAGTGAAAACTATGGTTTCCGATAGGTATCCCGCAAACCAATCCAGTGACTCACCATCCTCATTTCCCAACATGTGATACTGCGGCAGTATTTCCGAACAGTTCTTTTCATGTATCCACTGCCATGGTCCACCCCACAGGTCCTACCCAGCTCTGCTGGATGCTTTGGCCCAGTCGCCGGCAATCGGTCTGCCCCTTGGGGGCGAATTAATGGGCCAGCTGATGTCAGCTGTAACTACCCTCTAGCAAATCATGGCAACTTTAGTCTGGGCAATTTCTGAGAAACATCCCCATGATGGGAGGTAAGTCCCCATTTTTGATCATTATTGGAGGTATATATATATATATATATATGACCTTCATATATATATATATTATAATTATATATATAGGACAATATACACATAACTTAGTGCTATCTCTTGCTATCTTTGCCGCTGGGCCCCATGAAGTTCCATGGAACCCCCAGGCGAGGACACCATCCTGGTGGTGGAGTACCCCAACGAACAGGAGGAGGGAATACCTTCATCCCTATCGGGTGCGCCAAGTGATGCCACTGGATGGAGCCATTGAGGCTTGATGAGGCCAGGGTGTCTAGAGTTGATGTACTTTGATGATCCTTGATGTAGAGGTTTTCTGGAGGCCATCATAGGCAATCAAGGGGGCAATACTTTTAGTTGAGGCCAGTTGTTTTCACTATCAGGGTCTTGCCTGGATGATAGGAACTGCAGTTGGATTTTACGCAGATTTCCGCATGGGGGTATTGCCATTCTGGCTGCAGCAGCTATTCTTTTTATACAGTGCTCGACCAGTTTTCGCGTTTCTTCTACGGTGACCATGGCGCAACCAAAGTGTGGCGAGGAGCTGCTGAGGGATGGCACAACATAGACATGCGAAACATGGGGGACTTGACAGCGCCAGGAGGTCGCAGAAAAGGTCAATGACAATACGAACAATGAGGCAGGGGTTGGAAAGCCTTGGAAAGCCTTGGCCATGCTGTTGCCATGGCTGCCATGTTTGTTTATGCTAGCGGCGCTGTTAGCGACCCCATGGGAAAACACAATTTTCTAGTTTCTGGGGGTCGCAATAACGTTTAATAGCATTTGCATTTATGGAAGATGCAATGTTACTTGACGTTGCTCGTAAGGTGCAGGCGATGCCGCGCTACTGAAAGGTGAGCCGATCTAAAAACCTCCCTTTACATTTTCAGTACGAGCCTTGTCAGAACATGTTTGGCGTAAGCGAAACCCTCGCTTGCGTAAGGCCGCGTAAGGACTTCGCCTAAGGGTTTCCTCAATTTGCTTCGCGTAAGGAAAAACTCTACGCGCGTAAGCATGGCGTAAGCTTTGGCGTACCCAAAATGATACGACATAGGGAGTGAATGAAGGTTTTCAGAATGGCTCAGGTGACTTCATCTAATGTAATCTATGCTACGGCATTTAATGTTGACTTCTCCTAACATAGTCATAGATTATGCTTTGCTATGTCAGATTAAGTTGAACTAGCATACATCATTGTACCATACAAATCTTGCACTTGCACACATGTTGTGCACTCTCAGTGGATTGCACTAACATTGACGTTGACCTGCACTAACATACGTAATTTTTACGCTACTTGCTGGGGGTGGCGGGGGTGCAATAACGTTCAATAGCGCTTGCATACATACAAGATGCTACGCTACTTAACGTGATGAACTTCAGTTCGAATAAGATGTGATGCTACTTCAAACCAACCTCTTGTCACATACGTAATGCTACGCTAAATCAAGCACACTTCATGTAACTTAGATGTTGCTACGCTACTTGACGTTAACTTAATTTCAAACAAGTTGTTATGTTACTTGAAATCAACTTCATGTAACATACATGATGCTACGCTACTAAACGTTAATATCATATCAAATAAACTGTTATGCTACTTGAAGTTCAGTTCATGTAACATAGATGATGCTGCGCCACTTAATGTTAACTTCATTTCAAATAAGGTATCTCTTGTGAGAAAGTTGGGTTCTTGCTTTTTTTTTTCAAAAAAAAGACTCCTGAACATGGCAATTCCACTGGCCCAAAATGAAAAAAGGATGGCCAAAATGCTCCCATTTTGAACAATGTTCAAATTCCTCAAAGTCGCTATTGGCGCCGGTACCATGTTTATGGCTGCAGGGCTTGACGATGTGGGCTGCGGCTTGGCGTGGCCTCTTGGCGACCAGGTCATGGTGAGCCACCATAAACCGCATGGAAAGCTTCGTGCCAAAGTAGGCATCGCGCTCTGCAGGATATTTCAAGATATTATATATATAATATACGTATATATAATTATATAGATAGTAAATGATAGTAATATATACATTTATTATATTATATTTTATTATATTATGTTATACTATAATATTATACTGTATTATATATTATATTATATTATATTTTATTATATTATATTATTGCATTATATTATATTAGTTTTTTTTTTGGTATTGGATCAAATTATATTATTTCATATCATATTATGTTATGTGATACTATGCTTTATTGTATATGCAACATACACGCATATGTACATATATATATATAAACAGTGTATATATATATATATATAATATGATGTATATATCAAAGTATATCAAGGTATATCATTTGAATTGGATACTCCCATGTAGTCAGTGTAACCTGATTGTGCTTCCTGAAGTTACTGAATGGTTCCGAAGCCATCAGCCCAGCCCCAAGGTGGCCGTGTTGGTGCCCTCTTTGTTGGAGCAATCTCAGCTGTGCTGGGCCTATTGCTGGGATCCGCGGCACCTTGGCCATGTGCTGTCGGCACATGACAAAAGTATGTATACATATACCTAGGCATGCATATCTCCATATACACTCACACATTATATATCATTATATATATATATATATTGTATACTGTATGTATATATATATATAAATGCACACACACACATTTATATCTATTTATAGCACACTTTATGTGTTGCTTGGTTTGGATGCGGCGCAGCCCGCACCCTGAGGCCGGGGCGGCGGCAGGATCTTTGTTGGCACCGCTGACCTTGGGATTCTCAGCTCCGGCCTGGGACCTGGGGACCTGGGGACCTGGGATGGGATGATTTGACCTTACAGTCATGGGGATATACATACACATATATAAAATATACATATATATATATATACATACAAATATATATATATATAAGCGAGATATGTAACCAACCATATACATCTAATATGATGTAATATGTATATATGAATTTTAAGTGTGTTATGAAATGGGGGTATACCAGCACGTACCACCCGATTATGGCAGTTTTCATTGGGAGAATTATGATTATATAACCCTTGGATTGGTAGGCAATTTTCAGGCAGACCCATTTGTAGCTAATGACCCAAAGTTCGTGCATTGGATTTTCATTCTGCTTTTTGGTTGGCCATTACCGTTGAACTCGGGTCTATTTGAAGATTTTGGAGGTGCTGCTGCCGGTTTGCGCACTTATTAACGATGTCATTAATCAGGATATGAATAAAACTGATAGCTATCCTTATACTCATATAGTAATTGTAGTATTTGTAGCATCTGCACTTCTACTATCGAATTGATAAGTATCAAACTCAGAGCACTAGTGACTGTAACGATTGTTGCTATGGTGACAAATGATTCAAATTGTGCTACTGGTCACTGATACTTGTTATCATAGTATTACTTGTTATCATAACCGTTACTGATGCCATAATAATAGATACTTATTGTCACTGTTATTATTGTTATTGTCACTGTTATTCTTGTTATTGTCACTGTTATTATTGTTACTAATACCATAATAGTAATAGTTACTGTTATTGTTACTGTTATTCTTACCATGGGAAACAGTACCCAGCCTTGGACCGCGGCCGAGGCCTGCTGCTTCTTCGGCGCCCTGGGCGGCCTCATCTTGGGTGCAGCCTTGGGATGTGCAGGCGCCTTTGGTCATTTGGTTGCTATAATTAACCCCAATTAACCATAGCAAACCATAGCAACCATCATTAAAATTATAGAATCACATGAATTCACGTGATAATTAACCAAGAATTATGGTTTATGTATGTTTATGTCATGTGATTGTATAATTAATGATTAATGCTTAATGGTGAATGATTGGTAATGATTGATGATGTATGATGGATGATTTAGTCACCAAATTACTAAATCCAGTGGCTAAAGCACATGATGAATTTGCCAGTTTGATTGAATCCCTTGGACGGCTTGGTATGCCTCTGGGAAAGATCATTTTGTAAAGAACTGGTGGTATGTCCAGGTCTAGAATGCTGCATCCTCGGTAGAGCTTCCAGTATCTGTAAATTATTCGTGGCCGTATCCGAATAATTGCTAGATGCAGTTCCTGAATGTGGACACAACCCCTCTTGCAAAACGGAAAGTGATTGGAAAGTGATTCCCATTCCGCCAGGTGGTGTGATGCTGGGGGCTTCTCTGGGACTTCTTTGCTTCGCTACCGAGATGCCATCCGGCTGGACAAAGCCTCGCAATGGGCAAGTGCTGCAGGTGAGACAACGACTTTCTGAAGCAACTGCGATCCGATTTTTTTGGGGCAACACATGACCAAAGCAAATTTCATGGCATATTAGCAGTGCGGAGCCCTGATGTTTGTGTAGGGTCTCCGTCCACATGGCTCCTTTTAATGCTTGGCATCGTGGTCCTGGCCGATCATCCCTGGGCATCCGGCCGCCAGGTGGCTGCACCTTTGATTCTCACGGGGGTCACAGGTCCGTGCTTCGCCTCCTTTGGTGCATTCCTGGGACTTCTGTCGGGGGCATTTCTGGGGCTCATTGCAGGTGGGGAAGGGTGATCCAGATGGATCGGTGCTGACCAGCGTTTGAGATGTTTGATTGATGGATATGGACCTGATATGGATGGATATTGATTGGAGAGATATGGAGAGATGATGATATTGATCAATTGTCCGGGAGAGTTTCGCTGTCATTCACTGACAGCCGCTCTGGCATCAGCATTTTGTGTACGTGATTTCATGTACGATGCTTCGACCAGTATTGTTCGCTTTGACTGGCAAGGTTTTGTACTTCTTCGGATGGTGATATGAGCATTGATCCATGCATTGAGTGAATTGCAGGACTGCATCAGTCTGCCAGATTTCATTTGCAAAGCAGGTCTCTTCTTAGCGCCCTTCACATTCGGAATTTCTGTACCGATTTGTGCTTGCTTGGGCGGCATTGTGGGTGCAGCCGTGGATGCGGCAACAGGCTCCAAAATTTGTATTTGCAGGGCTGTGGATTTGGGGGTTTTAAGCAACATGGTGACATGGGCGCTTCATTGTCTTCTGCCAGTGTTGAAGTGAACAACGTTGAGACTCAGAGTCAGAGAGAGGGAGACAGAAATTCAGAAAGAGAGAGAGAGAGAGAGGGAGGAAGGGAGGGAGGGAGGGAGAGAGAGAGAGAGACAGAGTGCACGAAAGAAATCCCGACCCGAGCATCAGGCGCGTTGTTAGCCGTGCTATTGAATCTTGTGCTGTTTCGGCACCGCAGTGGATTCATGGGAGGCCACCTGGCTGCCAGCTGTGTGCCATTCAGATCCAGAATGATCCAGATGATGCAAGCAAGCGTCACTAGATGTCAGCATGGCCAGTCCCATCCTACACTGAGGTCTCACCCGCTTATTTCAGCCTTTCATTACAGCCTTCAACAGGCGGGAGCTTTCGGAAGCTGACCGCGGGTTGCGCATTGCTGGTTTAACCTTGCACCAGACGGAATCAACAAGAGATCAATGCTGAGAAGGAAAGTAGTGCTTTGTAATATGCAATATTTAAATAATTTAATAATAATAGAAGGACAGGACAGTAATTAGTGTGTCGAGCTGACACTGGTGATCTCGTGTGACGTGTTTCACTCTCGGATGTTTCGCTGTTTCTGTTTGGTGTTGGGGCATAGCAGGCTTGGACACGAGCTGCTCGACATGGCAGTAGTAGTTCCGGTTGCACATATTCCCTCAGAATTCACAGGTAGTTCATGGAGCAAATATGATATCATATATTATCATATGATCACATCTTCGAGACATCGAACATGTGCAGCTCATAAGTTCTCATCTTGACACAATAGACAGTCAACAAGAATCTCACCAATATGAATGTGTCCAACCCAAGAAGAAACTGCCAATTAGGGATGGTTGGAACCCCACCCACTTCTATGGTTAAATAGGGATGGTTATGAATTGTTTATTTTTTCGGGTTTGTCGGATTGCAATGCCGAGTCGGTGATATGTGGTAAAGGGATGTAAAGGGGTGTAAATCCAATATAATCCAATAAAGATACCAAAACTGGGATTACCACATATTATTCCCACATATTCCCACATTGCCAAAATTTTCGTGGTGATTTCAAGGTGGCGCTTCCAGCTGGCCATGCTGATCGCCCCCAGCCTTGAAGTCGCTCTGAAGAATCCAGATGAGTCGCCCATGGAGGCGCGGGAACTGCGCGGGAACTGCACGGGAACTGCACGGGAGCCGGGAACCAGGTGATGCTCAGGTGAGATTTTCCATAGAAAACATGGGGGTGTCACAAAAAAAAACCAAACATGTCTAAACATATGGCTTAAGTTCAATGAAAAACGATGTGTTTAAAACTATTGGATGTAATTACTGCATCTTTTTAAAGCCCACATTTGTCATCAGCCCAGCTAGGACTGCAAGAAGCCAGCTCGCCGAGCCCGACGTCGTGCCCGAAAGGTTGGTAACAGCATCATGTAGCCCTCTACATTAAAATCACAGCGCCGGGCCCAAGAATTCGTGGCTTTTCCGAAATTGTTTACTGTTGTTTCACCCCGCCTGATCGACCAGGGAGCAGGCGTCACCAGGCACGCGCAAGAAAGGCGTGAGAAAAAGAGGGTTTGATGTTTGGAAGCACAGCTGCATCAGCAAATCATATGATAGAGAAGCAGATGATTTTGTGCTGGCATGCTGTTCAATTTGCTGTGAGCATCTAAGTTGAGATACAGTGACAATTAGTGACACGCACACACACACACACATACACTGATCAGACCGGGAAAAACATAGCAACATATATTCAAGGTCCAAAACGCTGCAAATTCTGTCCATATTAGAGATTTAGCTCCGACATGTTGCAAATAGCAAAGAAACAGTCCCGGACAAAAGAAAACAGGAAAAAAAACATCCACCCTCTCCACGGAGAGCACTTTGTTGAAGTGATTTGCTTTTCAGAGGATCCTCTCATTTCAGGTGGTGTCAGAAGAACTCGTTCAGCCACTTGAATTGAGATTTTGTTTGCACCAAATGCATCAACGTGCTGTTGAATCTGACGGCGACATCTTGGGTTTAGAGCTGTCAGACAATCCCACCGCTTGACTGGGTATTTCTGGTAGTGCTTGAGGCAATCTGAGGATCGTCTCGGTCACCCTTTGGAAAGCAAACCTGCAAGTGACAAGACGACAGTCTCTTCATGACCTTGCCTATGGGCGCAAACTTTTTGAAGCGATCCTTGGAGAACGCAATGAGGAAGCTTTGCAAGCGACATGAATTTGCATGATATGTGATCGTAACGCAATTCATTCGTCCCAAAAGTTGTCTCTAAGCCTCGTGCAAGTTGCTCAACTTACTTTGTCAGTGCGAAAGTCTTCAGTATCTTTTCTAGTGGGCGGTTTTCTGCGTGTTTTTTTCCTGTACCCTACATTCCCAACATGGGCTGGCCGGCTGGCCCCCCAACACAATTTGGGACTGGACAGCTACTGGAGATGCTACATGACAGGGGCTGAGTGGTGATTCACCTGGTCGGACCGGCCCACAAGCACAATTCAGTCATGTCCCAACGACCCGGAAGTTGCAAAGTGGCGAAGCAATGCAAGTTAATTAGAGGCTGAAGAAGGTGAATGGAACATGCCATATGATCTGAATCTCCATATTCCACATTAATTAAGAAACTAATAAGTTGTTTACTTGGCCGTGCATTTCTGTGAAAGACTGGGATACACCTCCAAAAAGCTGCGTTGATGGATGACCCCATCCAAGAGCCCGCGCCATGAGATTCATCGCGCTGCTGGGTGTGCTGGTTGCGGCGCAAGACATTTCCGAGCAGGAATTCGCTGGCACTGCGCTCGGCACAGGAGGGATGACGCATGACGCCTTTGTGGGGGGTCAGTTCCAATTTATTGCCGAAAAGTCAAGTAAAAGTGTAAGGGCATCAATACGGATCAATACTAAACCGACTAAACCCAAAAATGGGTGGCTCATTAAATCTTGGACTTTTACGCGGATAGCCTGGCTTTTTCTGTTTGATTCCCCACTTGGGGCACTCAACAGCCAGCTGGAAGATGGATGCACCCTGGGCAGGTGCCATCTTTGGCCTTCAGGGAAGCAGACTTTTGAGATTCTGGGACCGCCTGCGGCTGGGATGAGAGGCGTTCTCAACTGTGGAAATATTGGGTTTGGGAGCTGAAAATTAGGTGAGAGAAAGAACAATTCCACCAGTTTATTATCATTTTCCCTAATAAAAATAACCATTTGACGGTATATAACACAATTTTCAGACACACCCATATTGAAGAGTCTGGTTGATGTCTGTTTTCTGGGTATGTATCTATTATATATATATATATCCATTATATCTAGGCAAGGCTGTTTGCATAGTGGATGGCGTACACCACAAGCCGACAACTAGAGCACACTGTGGATCCGATACACTGCCACAGCACACCTTCTTTGATTCTTGCGGTGTTCACCGGGTTCGGCATGGTTGGCTCAAGAGTGAAGCTTGAGTTCAATCGAGTCTACGCTCTCCGCGTGGCCTTGGTGTTTAAAAGTCCCGGGGCCTCGAACGTGGGGCAGGCCGAGATAACCATGGCCAGCACATACATAGACCCGGCTGTCAGAGCACAGCGCGCAAATGTCCATGATGTGTTTGTCATCGCACGTCACGAAAAGCATGGGTACCTTCTGCTGCTCAACAAAGGAGCCTTGGGCAAAGAATTCAAAATTCCTTCAGGGAAGTTTGAGCACCCAGGCATTGGGGGCGACAGTTACTACAAAGCAGCGAGCAATGCCGCCAGTTGTAAGATGCTCGTTCAGACTGGGCTGGTCATTGCTCCGTGTCGCTTCAAAAGGATCCTGTTCCCTGCACAAGTCCAAGAAAAGCTCGGAAACAGAGTGTTCTATGAAGTTTGGATCTCTGATCAAGACTCCGTCGTCAAAGGCGGCGAAACTGCTCTTACAGGACATGGGTTGGTAGTGTCTGGTAAAAGCGATAAATGTCCCACCCATTTTGGGGATTTGAACACCGCCTCAATGAATGATGGAGATGATATCCCCCATAGTTGCCCAGGGGGATGCTTACTGTACATTGTTGAAGTAGGACATGTATGGACATGTTACCTCCCCTATCTCCCCTGTCAGGAGAACAGAACTTTTATGTTCGCACAGACTACTATGGTTTTACGTTTCACCAAGATCTTCGCCATGCCGCCGCAGCCTTGCGGGGCACCAGCCGAACTACGGCCTCCGCGTTGCTGGCAACGCAGGCCATATACCGTGAGACCTGCTGCTTGGGGGGAGTGATCATGAAGATGGGTGAGATGGCTCGCCAGATGTGCGGCTGGCCCAAATTCCCAGAGAATCATCCATTCCACAGAGCCCAGCGTGGAGTCCAGAGATCAGTATCATCATTTTCGTGAAAGTGCACTGAGAGGCAATCGTTTTAGGTTTTAGCCATGAAAATACATGAACGTACTAGCCCTGAACCGTTTGATTCCCATTGGCGGCAGGGGTGAATAGCCTGAATTCGAGAGAGCCTCCGGTTTTCAAACGGGTTTAGGTTGTTGCATTGACACAACCTAGAAATCAATGCCAGTTGTATGGTCCCCCAACTAATATAATCTAATATAATATTCGTTTGAATCTTGCATTTGGTTTCCTGATTTCTGGTCTTGTTGAACTTAGTTCGAAACCCTGAGTCTCCAGCACCAGCGACAATGGCATACAAAGCCCTCGCGGTAGCTTCAATTCTCCCGAGACACCTGACAGCCTGACCGAACTTTGCCAAAAAAAACTGTAGGGGCTGCTGCCCCTGGCAGACTCGGAGTCCAAGATCATGACCAGAGAGGGAGAGAGAGTCTAGTGAGATACAATGTAATACACAAGGAAGCTGCTTTTCATTTTCTGCACCACATTAAACATTTCATAACATTTCATTGAGAAACCGCCCATTTCCCCGAAACTTGAAACCTTACCTCGTTCAAGCTCGTTCAATCATATGACACCAGGGTTTCAACTCAACATGTGTAGACGCAGAAAGAGGGAGACTTCGCTGTCATGTCAAGCCCTGGGTTACAGTTGCCTCCAAACATTTATATCTATCTGTCTGTCTGTCTGTCTGTCCGTCCGTCCGTCCGTCCCTCCGTCCATCCATCCATCCATATCTATATCTATCTCTCTCTCTCTATCTATCTCTATCTATATCTATCTCTATCTATCTCCATCTATCTCTATCTATATCTATCTATATCTATCTATATCTATCTATATCTATTTATATCTATCTATATCTATCTATATCTATCCATATCTATCCATATCTATCCATATCTATCCATATCTATCCATTATCTATCTATCCATTATCTATCTATCCATATCTATCTATATCTATCTATATCTATCTATATCTATCTATATCTATCTATATCTATCTATATCTATCTATATCTATCTATATCTATCTATATCTATCTATATCTATCTATATCTATCTATATCTATCTATCTATATATCTATCTATATCTATCTATATCTATCTATATCTATATCTATCTATCTATCTATATCTATCTATTATCTATCTATATCTATCTATATCTATCTATATCTATCTATATCTATCTATGTCTATCTATGTCTATCTATGTCTATCTATATCTATCTATATCTATCTATATCTATCTATATCTATCTATATCTATCTATATCTATCTATATCTATCTATATCTATCTATATCTATCTATATCTATCTATATCTATCATTATCTATCTACATATATCTATCTATATCTATCTATATCTATCTATATCTCTATCTATCTATCTATCTATCTATCTATCTTTTCTATCTATCTTTTCTATCTATCTTTTATATCTATCCTTTATATCTATCTTTTATATCTATCTTTTATATCTATCTTTTATATCAATCTTTTATATCAATCTTTTATATCTATCTCTTATATCTATCTTTTATATCTATCTTTTATATCTATCTTTTATATCTATCGTTTATATCTATCGTTTATATCTATCTTTTATATCTATCTTTTATATCTATCTTTTATATCTATCTTTTATATCTATCTTTTATATCTATCTTTTATATCTAATTTTTTTTATCTATCTTTTATATCTATCTTTTATATCTATCTTTTATATCTATCTTTTATATCTATCTTTTATATCTATCTTTTATATCTATCTTTTATATCTATCTTTTATGTCTATCTTTTATGTCTATCTTTTATGTCTATCTTTTATATCTATCTTTTATATCTATCTTTTATATCTATCTTTTATATCTATCTTTTATATCTATCTTTTATATCTATCTTTTATATCTATCTTTTATATCTATCTTTTATATCTATCTTTTATATTCTATTATATCTATCTATCTATCTATCTATCTATCTATCTATCTATCTATCTATCTATCTATCTATCTATCTATCTATCTATCTATCTATCTATCTATCTATCTCTCTTCTCTTCTCTTCTCTTCTCTTCTCTTCTCTTCTCTTCTCTTCTCTTCTCTTCTCTTCTTCTCTTATCTTATCTTATCTTATCTTATCTTATCTTATCTTATCTATCTATCTAATCTATCTATCTATCTATCTATCTATCCATCCATCCATCCATCCATCCATCTATCTATCTATCTATCTATCTATCTATCTATCTATCTATCTATCTATCTCTATATATATATATATTTCCCCATACGTATATATATATATATATATACAGATACACGTATGTATATCATATCTACACTCACACATATATATATATGTATATATGTGCACATATTTGCATATACAGCCGCCAGACAGATTGAACAGTATTGTATATATAATTAATTCACCAGAAATTCACTTTTCATTTTCCATCTATATAGTTTTGGGTTGCTATATCACCAACTATCTGAATCTTGAGGAATCGACACCTTGGCCAACTACATTCAAGTTGCAGCTTGGCGGTTCCCAGCTTTTGGTTCAAGAGATCCATCAGGTGGGACACATCATCCACTTTATCAAGTCTTTTTGAAGGACATACGTCATAAAAAATCAATCTTAACGCCCCCACCAAAATCTCCGCTGAAATGATGAGTGATGTTGAATGATGTGTCTAATTTGGTAAACCTAATAATGAACCATCCCCCAAATCACCATTTTTATGGGTGGGATTCCAACCATCACCAGTCATGGTAAGTTTATGGCATTGGGTTTCCCACAGTATAACCTATTATCAGTGTTTACTAATTATTACTAACTATTATTATCAACTATTGTTAGCTATTATTATTGATTAATATTAACCATTATTGACTATTATTAATTATAATTATAAGTCATAGTTATTCTTGAAGGCATGGGACAGATTTTTTTTGTCCGAGCGGACTCTTTTTGCGTCAAAGTCGCGCGCCAATGGACTTTGCCATTGGGAATAGGGCTATGTACAGCCGAGCCCTGAACATGATTGATCATTTAATTGATACCCTCTGGTAATTTAACATAACTATGGAAAATCACAATTTTTAATGGGTAAATCCACTATAAATGGCAATTTTCAATAGCTATGTTAGTTTACCAGAGGATAATTGATAATTTCTTAAGCTTCTTGGCACCAAGGAGCTGCCTGGTGATGACCAGCTCTGTGGCTGGCCACAGTTGTTGGAGGCGAATGGAGACCTGTGGGCCGTGCCGTGTGCTGCACCTTGGACGCCGTGGACGCCTTGGACGTCTTGGACGCCTTGGACGCCTTGGACCGGGCCAGAAAAGGAACATATCATTATTTTTGTAGGGTTACAGGTATACTTTGGATATACTATACATCGATATACTATTCTGGGGTTGCAGATGGTTAATGTTCATATTTATTGTGGATGTGATTATTTGTGTAACTATACATTTATTATAATCATATGTACGAATAGATTGATGTTCATTACCCATCTCTTCCTAAATCCTGCGCCCCGATAAGGCCCACCACGTTCTCCGCATTTCTCCCATCGGCGTCTCCAAGCTCAGCTTGGGCCCATCAGACGTCTCCTGCCAGTGGCGCCATGCGGCAGTGGCACCCAACGGGGCAATTTATGCCATGCCCTGGGAGGCGAGCGCTGTGCTGCGTGTCGCGACGGATGTCCGGCTGCTGGGGCACTTGGGCGTAACGAATCAGGGGAAGTTTGGCTTCACCGTGGCCTCGCAGGATGGGCAAAGGGGGGTGATGAAGGATGCTGAGTTTCAAAATGGTGGTTTTAATATATTTTGATTTTGATGAGGAAAATTATGCCATCAAAGTTTGGGTAATGACCATGTTTTGAGACAAACCCATATTAAGATGGTGTGTGATTGTATTTGATGGTTGTCGTATGATCCATTATGTAGTTTGGTTTTCTGAGTTTCAATGGTTTGACCGAAGAGAACAGCAAGTTCTGTTGAACATCAAAGAACTCATCCAGTTTGCCATTTCCATTCAGTTCACCTTCTTGGATTACCCAAGAAAAGCATAGGAAACCCTTGGCAGCTGCAGTCAGCGAAGGAGTATGTGTGTGGCATACCCTGGGCTGCTCGAAGGGTCCTTTGCCTTCACACTTCAAAGGATGAACTGTTGCAGTTTGGAGACTTTAGTGATTTGGCAGGAAGCTCAGCAGCATTTGGCACACAGATCACGAAAGCTAGCGGTAGCTAGCTGGAGTTATTCTTGCTTCAGCAAGGGGAGGGGCAGGTCTGAGTCCAATGCAGTGATTTTTCACTCGAACCCCCCTTCCTAAGCTCCCGGGATCTCCCGGGGCATTTTGAAGCCGTGTTGGAAGCAGATGGTCAGGCAATCTGTATTCAGCATATCAAAATCTCATCATGTTTCCAGCAGGCTCATATGAACCTTGGCTTTCGTTCACCCCCACTTGGGCCTCAAGTTTGGCCATTCTACAGTATGGGTCAAATTTTAGACTCAGGGACCCACACATATTGGAGATGAGATATTGTATTTGCAGATTCTGGGCACGAATAATTGGATTTTTGATGGTTTAGAGGTACCCCAAGAGTTTTTTTTCCTTGGTTGAGCATGGCTCAGGAAAGTGGCGAACTGCCGCTGCCAGACACGGGATCATCTTCGCACTTCCGGTTGAGGCGGACTCGGTGCTAGAGATCGATCCAGCAGCGAGGAGGGTGCGGGAGTTGGAGCATTTTCCTACAGGAGCTGGGTGGAGCCGCAGGATCTCTTTGTTTCTTTTGGGGAACGGGAGGGAATTGAAAAAATGTCTATGGATTCCATGGACTACCATCATTTTCCATCATTTTCCCATATTTTCCCGATGAAAATTGTCATTTGGGGGGTGCCTCCATGAACCCAGATGATGTGTTCCGGCATGTTTTGATGGAAATCCGACCGCTGGTAAAGCAGCAGAAAGAAACATGCAAACAGCAGCAGAAAGAGCTCAGAACAGGGGCGGTCTTTTTAACAATCACTCGAATTACTTCGTTGCCCTTCAGGACAGTTCACGCCACTTGACTTCTTTTATCCAGGGCTGCCTTTTCTTCATTTGCTGAGTCATGGAACGAACAGCAATCTGACAAAAGTCAGATAAATCCAGAGCAGGGCGCCTGTGTGAGAATACCAACGCGGAACATCAATAAAGGTCATCAACTTGTCACATCTTGTAACCAGGTACTGCAGACGAAGGAATGTCAATGGCTCAATACATGTGAATACTATGTGACTCTGTTATATGATACCTACGTGTATCATCGTGTATCTATCTCATGGTATAGAGTAGGTGCAAGAATAATGAAGAATAAGATTTGCCAGTCCTTCATTTAAGAAGACGTATTTTCATCAATGAAGAAGCTTTGAGAAACTCAACGCTGTTTCAATATTTGATCAGTACGGATCAAATCACTGAGTCAAATCGCATCAACGCTGAGGCCCATCCTCCTTTCGCGCTGGTCCGGAGGAGGGGGTCGGGCAGAGATGCCCCACCTGCTCCACATTTCTTCGGGTTGGATGATTTACACAACAGGAATATTTCTGATGCTTCCGAAGATTTCCGTCATAGCTTCTTCTTTCCACAAGTTAGGGGCATACCCCATTTATCCCCATTTTCAGACACACCAATGATTTGAATAGCCATAAATCCGGGGCCCATGCCCGCAATCTTTGGACAGATGGGAAGGCTTGGCACTGGGCGATGACAGCTTGGTAGCGTTGCCGGGCTTTGACTGTTCGATTCTGAAGGCCACCGGTTCATGATGGCCCTATTCGGAAGCCATGAAACATACGGCAGTTCGATGACCGCGACTTTCCAACTAGCAAACATAACATGGGGATGGATTTCTTTTAACGTGGCTAAACTGGGATTTAACCTGGAAATGGGGCATTGCCCCTGCGCTCATGTGTTTTGGTTGGTTCGCGTTTAGCCAGGGAAGAAGATACTCTGTGATGTTATTCTTGAAATGCGTGAAGCTTGCAGTTGTGATGCACAAGAGTTCAATGTTTGATGTTTTGAGCTTACAGATCTTGGCCAGGTTGATATGTCTCTCGCAAAGATCGGGAGACATCAGCTAGACTGCGGAGGCACGGACATAGATCCTGAGAGGGGCAGGGCTTCCCAAGAAGGTATGGACATGGATAGACGGCCCGGACCGTTTCAACTTCGGAATTCCTTTGGGACAACACATTTACAGACATGACATTTACAGCCAAGGAGTTTGATTTGCCCCATCCTCCTTGCAGTGAACTGCATCAGCATGCATCTGCGTGAGCCAAGGTGGGGCGGTCCACAATTGGCACTCTGCAGTGGTGGCAAAGAATGGTGCCATCTATGCAGTTCCCTTTTCAGCATCCTTCGCGCTGAAACTTGAATTTCAGGGGGACTCACTTCAGGCGTGTTGTTAATGGCCATCAGGTGCCACGAGGAGTGGCTTTCGTTTATGCCCACTGGTGCCCACTGGTCGTGTATGGTGCAGGCTGCTGCTTTGGTTCTGTTTTGACATCATATGGGTATTTCCCAAGACATCGGACAGATGCAGATGACGGAGCTCATCTCGTTGCCCTTTTCAAAACGTTGTGAATCTTCCATCCTACTTGGGAAGGCTATCCTCATTGTCTCCAATAAAAACTCACCTGTCCTGTTTCACCTGTGGAGGCTACAAGACTTGGCAGCTTCGGCAACAACATGGGCAAGTGGAGCCAGGCGATTTTGAGCCAAGAGGGCGATGTCTATGGGGTGCCCTGGTCCGCCGAAAAGGTGTTGAAGATCCGACCTTTGACGGATGAGGCGGATGGGATGGGCACGTTGGATATTGACACTGCTGTGAAAAAGGCTGGAGATCCTGGAGATCTCGAACATATAGCACATTGAGAAGTGTGGATTTTCCAGAATCATGTATCATCATGTATCATCGCATTCCAGGGGTAGGTCAAATGAAAGGAGTTCTAGAAAGGATCTACGGCTGCAGCTGTCTTGGATCCTTGCCGGTCTTTTCTCCCCATCGCCCCATTACGGGTGTCTGCATGTTGGCGAAAGTCACGTCGAGAAGGTTTGGGAGACACAAGTCCAGCATCAGAATCTTGATGGCAAGTGGGTGGTGATTTTGTGGGTCTTGTCGATCGAGGAAACCCATCCACTTTTAGGGTCCTTAATACTAAGACACCACCAAATACATCCATAGAGTAAGATTTTTCCAACGGTTTGTGCACTTTGCATCACTCTGCAGGGTGCAATTTCACAACACCAGGACAGGCGGAGGTATCTGCCAAAGGTTGGAGATATCCTTTGACCCCATTACTGCAGCTGAGCCCTAATCCTTCCAAAGATGTCGTGAAGAAGATCTTAGAGCCATTGGGAGGCCGGAAAAACTGGATTCCGGCGACTCTGAGAAGCTTAGCAGCAGAAAAGCGCTCAGATGTGCTTTTCTCAGTGCTAGAGGTCTCTTTGACTGATTATCACGGTCATTTTTTGTTTGGCTTTAATGGCTGAAAGCCGGCGGATTACTTATCCACAAGCTTTGCGGCACATTTTTTTCTATAGAAGCTCGCCATTACTCTGATCCGCAAGGTTTTACGAATCACAGGGGTTCAGCTTGATGTTCGAGACTATACCATCGGAATGTCAGCCTGCAGCAAGGCAGGCCGGGAGGTTGAGACGTGTTTGGGACCTCAACCAATTCCATCAAAAACACGGATCATCATATCATGACCGTCACTTATGCGGGATTCCGGGGCAGAAGGCATCCCACAAATATTTGTCCTGTCCAATGTACCCTGTTCTTTTTTTGTCCTGTGGATCTGTAGTCTCCTTCCTAAGTTGGGCCAGTTGTTGGTTCCCATCAACGACCGGTTGCGGAGGCCAAATCGTGGGAGCGAGCATGCTGGCTCTTGCGAACCATGGAGCAAGGTAAGGTAACCCGCAGCGTCATCAGTTTTAGCGCAGCCATCAGCTCATGTGAGAAGGGGAACCAGTGGCAGCATGCCCTGAGTTTGCTGAAGGCCAGTTTGAGCTATGCTTAAACAAGAAGCATCAAGAAACAGCATTTGCGTGCGTCTGAACCTGGGGGGTAATATGTCAAAATAGCTCTTTTCAGATCCTTTTAGCTTCGTAAGATACTGATCCTCATCTGGAAGTGGTGGTTTTCCCATCATTTTCGTAAGTTTAAGGTACCAAACTCATTTAAACATTGCTGGTGACGACAGGAGATGGCCTGGGTGAAGGTTTTGCCCAACGTCATCAGCTGCAGTGCAGCCATCAGCTCATGTGAGAAGGCGCAGAAATGGCAACATGCGGTGGTGCTGTACCAAGAAATGCTGGAAGAAGAGCTTTCACCAGATGTGGCCACTTAGCTGACTTAGCTTTTAGACAGTTGGCCATATTTTGAAAAGTGCAAAAAAATGGCCGCGGTGGGCATGGGTCAAATGGGCCCCCACATTACTTGTCTTTTCTTTTGTTAATTGTTCGGTCATTCCTTCATGCACTTCTTGTTTTTGTTTGACTGTTCAAATCTGGATGGTTTTATGATGTTTTATGTTGAAATGGTTTTAGAACTGGTGATGACGCCTGGCAGCCTGGTTTCTGGCTGACCCCACCTCCAGGTCAGCTACAGTGCAGTGATCAGTTCCTGTGAGAAGGCAGGCAAATGGCAGCAGGCTCTGAGCTTCTTCCACGAAATGTGCAGGGCCCAAGTGCAACCGGATGTGGTCAGTTGCAATGCCACCATGAGTTCATGCCAGAAGGGAGGGCATTGGCAGCTTGCTTTGAGTTTGTTTGAGGCGGGAATCTTTCAGCTGTGGGTCAGGGTCAAACGTGATTGCAAACCCAAGGGTCAGCAGCTTTTTTCTCCATTCCCCTGAAGGCAATGCCAGGGAACAGGCTTGTTCCCAATGTCATCAGCTTCAATGCTGCCATCAGCTCTTGTCAGCGAGGTGGCCATTGGAATGAAGCGATGAATTTATTGGAAACCATGCTGTCGAAGCCTTCGCTATCGCCAGACCTGGTGAGTTTCAATTCGACCATGGCTTCCTTTCAAAAGGACGGTCAGTGGGAGCAAAGTTTAGGTCTGCTGGACCTCATGTGTCGAGAAAAAGTTGCTCCCGATGTCATCAGCTTTAGTAGTGCAATTACTTCCTGCGAGAAGGGGGGAAATTGGCAGTATGCCCTGGCACTCTTTGAGGCAATGCGCAAAAGAGACTTGGTGACGCTTTCAGGCACTTTCTAGCGTGATCCGCCCCCTTTGTGTAACAGATCGACGGCTAAAGCAGGTGTCTTTGGGATTTCATTGTCACGGGGAATGGAACATACCAGCTTATACCATACAATTTCATATACAATGCCAAGTTTTATTATCATCCACGATTTCTGCCCCCCCAGTGTGTATTTCCCTATTTTTCAACATTGATTTAATGCATACATACATATATAATAAATAAACAAAATAGATACATAAATACAATAACAGCAGACACACACACACATACTTATATACATATCATATATATTATAATATATTATAACTAACTCAAGAAACATATTATCACGCACACATGTCATATATTTACGGCGAACAGCCAGGCACCCACGGTTCATGTGCCAGGACAGCATCAGCCTGATGCCGTGAGTTGCAGTGCGATCATCAGCTCCTATGATCAAGGATCACAATGGCAAGTGGCCATCAGATTCTGAAGCTGCAGTTTCAGAACATTTCTAGGTTCATCTAGATTCTATTTTTTTTACTCAAGAAATCTGGAAATATGTGTTCGAAGTAGGAATAGATCTATAAGATTTCGATAGGATTTTATGACATACATAAGCATAATTCTTAATTTTAATCTAGCTACGCAGCTGCATGAGCAACTGCGGTCCATGTGCCGCACCTTCCAGGATTATTTGCAGTCATGCAGCAGCTTCTCCAAACTGATGCCGTGAGCTATGGCGCAATACTCAGCTGCTGTCACAAGGCGGCACAATGGGAGCAAGCCTTGGCTCTTTTCGAAGCTATGCCATTGAGCAAGGCAGCGGTGTCAATCCTAAAATTTTGACCCAGGATCTGCCAGGCTAAGGTGCGCATTTCCAGACGGATAGAAACAGATAGAAACAGCCTGGCACACCATGGATCACCATGGTGGATATATATGATATATGGCATGATATGGTGGCATGATATGGCTGTAGATTCTGTAGATGCTCCACATTGCTCCACATTGCCCCACCATCCAATCAGCACCTTGAAAGCGCCCGGAAGGTGGCACCCAACGTCGCCAACTTCTGCGCAGTGATCGGTGCCTGCGAACGGGCGCAGCAACGACAGCGGGCCACGGGCCTCTTGAAGCTGATGCAGGCGGCAAGTGTGCAGCCCACATTGGGATCCTGGCGGTGAACAACTGGAGTTTGCAGCTGGGTGTTGACGGTCCGTGCCCAAAATTGGAACATATTGGAACGCTGAAGGTGGAACTCTGGCAACACTTCACTGACACGTGGAATCATGTGGAGGTTCGTGGCCATTGCTGTTTTTTTTGTGCGGTTTTGCCCTCCATGTGCAGGGAGTATTTCAAGTACTTCCCGCACGGGAAGCAGTAGTGTCCCGCTTTCATGCGGGCTGTGCATGCTTCTTTTTGTGCAGGAGTTTTGAATGGTAGAATGAACAATTAAAGGTTAAAAGTGCAGCAGCGGCCTCGGCACATGCCGCTGGAACTGCTGTATAGAGTCTTTGGCTCCGGCCAAGAGGCTCACAGGCTCAAAGAACATGGCCGGATGGCATTGGGAGCAAGAGAATCAAACCCACCATGGGAAAGCGTGCCTTTTTGTCGATTCAGCTCACGTGTCAGCAAGCCCATCATGATAGTTGCCAGCTCAAGCCGGACTCTTTGGCTTGTGTTGGGTCAATCACGAGCCAAAACCCACTGCCATAAGCCCAATGACTCACAAGAAACGGGTCGGATCTCAACCTTTCCCAATTGGCAGTTTGTTGCATTGGGTGTGCCCAAAAATGCGACCCCGTTGGTGAACAACGATCGTCGGCAGGTGAGCAGCTTTGGGAACTTCGAGCCGGGCCCTGCGAGATGGAGCCAAGCTTGGGAATGTTGTGGTTTTGTTTTTGTTTTTGGAATGTAAGAAACTGGTCATATCAATCATATCAGGCAGTGATGTGTGGGATCATATTAATTAGGATTATTAGGCCTTCTAGCTGGAATCAGCCACTTATCAAATTTGCCCCCCGGTTTTGATATGTTTGTTTTAACAAGCAACTGAAGGGATTTCACTCAATTTTTCGATGCTTTGATTCCCGAAATTTACCGTGAATTCATGGTTTCTTGTATGTTACATATGTTTATTCCCTTAAACCAATCCGCTTTCCGATGTTTTCCCGACTGATTTTGGAACCTCGAAGATCAGCGAAGGAAAGAAGGCGTGTTGGCATCCACTGGCCTCATTTACTGCATCCCCGAAGCTGCTCCAACGATCTTGAGGCCGGCGTTTCAGATCACTGGGTCTCAACGAATTTCATGGCTGCATGATATATGACGCATGTGTATAATCAATATGCATTTATTTTGGCCTACCAAAATCTATAGTATGCACGCATATGTTTTTTTTAAATATATATATAATTATATACATATGTATATATGATTTTATATGTGCACAGCTATCCCTATACACTTTTGATGTTCTATACATATGTCGCAATGTGTATATATATATATGTGATATATAGATATATGCATATTCCCAACAGCAGTTACTGTTGGGTTTCAATCTCTGGGTCTGGGAGAGATGCGCTGTTTTTAGCCGAGAACCCTGGAACTTTGGAACCTGCTGTTGGGTTGCAAAGCTGGCTGAATGTATGATACTCGTACTACATAAACACACACACACATACAAGCAAATATACATAATATATGCATTATATATACATATACATATATATATATTAATAAAGGTAACAGACCATAGAGGTATATAAAAAACACATCTACTTTTGCATGACCAGGATCGACCCCTCCAGCGACACCACCCTGCAGCTGCCAGTGACGCCTGGAGGACTAGCGCCCCCGAGCCTTGGTGCTAGTGCCGTGGATTACGATGGGTTATGATTGATACAAATCATTGCTACTATTTTTACTCCTATCATTATCATCCTCATCATCCTCATCATCCTCATCATACTCATCATCCCCATCATCCTCATCATCCTCATCATCCTCATCATCCTCATCATCCTTGTCATCCTCATCATACTCATCATCCCCATCATCCTCATCATCCTCATCATCCTCATCATCCTCATCATCCTTGTCATCCTGCTCATCCTCATCATCCTCATCATCCTCATCATCCTTGTCATCCTGCTCATCATCATCATCATCCTCATCATCCTCATCATCCTTGTCATCCTGCTCCTCATCATCATGATTATTACCATCATTTTTATTATCATTTTTATTATCATTATTATCATTGCTATGATTATTATCATTATTAGTATTATTGAAGTTATTATATATATATATATATAATTCATACTGGTTTCATGATGATGATAATGATGATGATGATGGTGATGATGATGATGATGATGATGCTGATGATGATGGTGATGATGCTGATGATGATGATGATGGTGATGATGATGATGATGATGATGATGGGTGGTTGGTATCCAGTGCCGGGAGATGTTTCCTTTGACCAATTTTTGGGAGGGAGGGATGCCGGAAGTGAAGGCTTTTCCGGGCAGAGAGCACATGGTTTGAGCTGATTGTGCTTCGGTGAGACGCCTTGCAACCAAGGACCCCGGTCACCACATTTTCTGGCACCACAACGACGGCCTGGGGATGGGTGGAGTCAAATCATGTCAAATCATCTGGAAAAAAAAACTGCGATTCCAACGGTTGCTTGGGCTGCTGCACTTGTCTTCATGTGTCTCTTCGTTTGTATCACCCCCCTGACCCAATTCCTGACACGATGGTACCTGTATGGCCAGCATTTTGCAGGTGCAGGTAATGTGTTTGGGCTTCATATGTCCTGGGGGTGCCAAGCTTCGACCAGATGCATCTGAATTGGTATGCCGACATATGCCATGTGCGGGCGCCTGGTGCAATGGCAACGGTAACGCAATGAATGCATGGACGGGTGAAATGAATCCGATTCTTTGATTGGATAGATGACTTCCCTACTTTGTAACTCTGGAGTTTTGGTGTCAGCCTTCAGCTTGCTCCTGAGCTTGAGGTTTCGAGATTTGTTGCCTCAGCAGCTGCGAAAGCTTTCAGTGCCTGGAGGGCTATTCCAAAAAGCCGCGGGCGCAGGAATTCAGCTGCCAAGCTGGTCCGGGCCACCCAGTGAGGTCCAGGGACGAGGGCCCATGAGGCATGGCCCCATGATGGCCCCATGGCTTGGGTTCTTGGAAGCATGGCCAGGTCATTGCCAAAGGATGCCGAGGGAATACACGTTGAATTGATACAGACATGACACAGGAACACGTGTTGAACATGACACGCAACCATACCTGCGACCAGCCAGGATACTGCAGCAGCACAGACCTACTCACCTGTTGCAACGTGGACCTTTGGTATCCAAATGTCTTGGTGCCGTTGCTTGGTGATGCCGGTGCCTTCCACATCCCCAAAGGCACGTGGTTTAGGGGTGTCAACACGAGCGTTGCTGAAACCAGCAATTTGAGGAACCCTTTGGAGACCCGACAGAGTGAAGTGAGCTGATGTTTCTTCCCTGTTTACCATCGTGCCATATCGTGCCAAAATGCAAAACTTTCGGCAGAGCACTTGGAAATAAATGAAGCGCGCCGATGTGTTGTAAGATGAATGAACCATACGCACAATGCAAAAACATGGTATCAACGTCTGTAAGAGGCCGTGTCGGTGATGACATCAGCCAATGCCATGATGGTTGTTCAAATGTCCAAGACTGTGATTATTTGCACATGTTCATTTCTCTTCATCAAATTCGTGGTTGCACGGAAGGGTCACCTCAAAATTGTGAATTTTAGTGTTTTACCACAACGAAACTGCTATTTCGTGTGCCCGGACCTCCTTGCAAAATTTTCTCAGTTTCTCTTGTTTTCTTCAAGCACAAAGTGCGCTAAGTTTGTTGAGGACCTTGCCTGTGAGGGTTTTGCGCCACACAGCAGCATGCAAGTACTTCCAAAGTTTTGGAAAGTCTTGTTTGCAGTGTTTGTCTGTGCGCAACTGCCTTGGAATTGGCTTTTTAAACCCATCCCATTGTTAGTCCAAAGCCTGTGTTGCAGCCAAAGGCGAAGACCTGGCAGTGGGCTTTCTTCCCAAGTGCATGACGTATGTGACGGGCAAGAGAGAGAGAGAGAACGTACAGCAGCGTGGCATGACGTATGCGTGGGAGTGCAAGAGAACGCACAGCAGCGTAGCATGACGTATGTGTGGAAGTGCAAGAGAACGTTATTGGCCCACCCCACCCCCAAAAAAACATCAACACGCGCGTGGCCTCTTACGGGCGTTGACAGACATGGCAGTTTTTCCGATGTTGCCTTCCCGAGGCTTCTGATCTTTGCCTTCACCGGCCTAACCTGTGTGTGGGCTCAGAGCCAGCGGTGTCGCAAGGAGCGTTTGAGCCGGCGCAGGACAGGGTTGGGTCACGCCGAGTATGGAGTCCAATTAGGTGAAAAAACCTATGTTGGACATGTTGGTTTAAGATTGGTTTAAGGCTTCGACTTCAATACATGTAGAATTAGGTTGACTAGTCACATGCGGCCTATTGTATCCTACTATGACCTGTTCTGCATTGCACATATTGTGCCGAATGGATGCCATACCTGCGTTCGAGTCCTAATGACAGCTCAACATAAACACATGCAAGTGCAGGAAGTTCAGCGTGCTCTACTTCACGGTTCTATTTGCTTGGGATGTTTGTGATCAAACTGCGTCCTGGTGGTTTTGGCAATACACAGGGGATGTTGGCGCTTCTTTGGTGCGCTCCTCAGGAGGTTCCCACTTCCATATTGCACTCAGGTGAGCGATGATCTTAAAATGCCTGTTGATTAGGTATTAGAGATATTAAGGGGAGTCATTATTACTACATATTACTACCCTGATCCATCTATATCCATCTACTTTTTTTTTGGATTATGATCCATCATGGGAAGCCCCAACCAGAACCAGATCATCCAGGTCCAAGTAGTCTGACCCTAAGGTCGTGCAGGGTCTGGCGATGATGTCAGCAATGATGGGCACTGTGATCATCTTGCTGGCCTTCTTCGTCACCCAACAGTAAGATGTGTGATCAGAAGATGCACTGCAAATCATGCCAATTGGGCTACACAGATCTGTAGTTTTATGTGCTACATACATGCATACATGCGCATATATATATACATTCATATATATATATAGTGCACATTACGTTATATATATATATATGTATATATGTATGAAGTTAACGATTATTTGCCAGAAATCGTTACGGTCAGTTGGCACAAAGGCAGGGCTCTTCATGACCACTTCGCAACTCTTGGATCAGCACGCGCCAGAGTTGGCATATTCTGTGGCAGCTGGCTGTGCCGATGTCTGGGGACCCAGTGGTGTGTATCCTTACCGATGGGGGTTATGGGTAAATCCTGGAGTTCATGGACTATTGACTTATGTGGGTATGGATCAATACCTATTAATACCATTTTTAGGGGGATGAACATCCATTTACCAGTTATTTTGATGTTCACTAGGTACCAGGGTTTTGACCCATCCCCATGTGATCTGGGGCAGAACACTTTCTGGTTATGTTAGAGAAGTGTCCAGGACCCCCCTTTTTAAACCATGTCATTGGTAAATTTCCTTCCTTGGGGTTCAAACCTTGAGTCCCAGAATGAAAACAGGCAAAATGACTGGACCCTCCCTTATCTGGATGGTCAAACCCAACAGATATGAATTTCGACTAGAATTTCTTTTCCCCCAAAAAATCCTGCCCTTCAGAATGAGGAAAGCCCATGCAATACATGTAGCCTGAGTTGTCATGATGTCACCTTAGTTGTCATGTTGCCTTTTCCCCTTTGTCAGGATGTAACCTTCCCTTAGTTGTCTCATGTTGTCTCAGTAAATCAAGACCAAATCTCAGACACTCCGGAGCTCCGATTTCAACAGTCATCACTGATGAATCTTGAGAGATCCTCAGAAGGTGGCGACCCCCCAGTTATGTTTGTTGGTTTATAACAACCATAGTCAACTACCCATTACTGTAACTATAGTATATAGGTTTTTTATGGAATTTCTCTACCATAAACTAACTCGTTAACTTCAGGTGATCATGTTGATTTGCGTCTTCATCTTCGAGACCGAAGGCCTCGATGAAGGCAGTTGGATCAAAATTCTCAATCTGATCCCTGGCGACGGTCTTGTCGCCGGTGAGCCATGCCAGTTACGCGGTTATGGCTTGACGCCAACCATCAAATATTAGTGAATCCTAAGTGTCACTATAATACCACGATATACCACGTATATATGCTATCAATTCATGAATCAAAACATATCACTATAGCACGATGCATGAATTATGACATTATAATTACCATCATTATCTCACCACGAATCTTTGCACGGATCATGCGGCCACGAATAATCCTGCCACAAATATCCACTCATCAGACCACCAATAATTTTATATGAACTTGTTGCACGACATCTCAGCATGTCCCGCCAACTTTGGGCTGATGCGCCACAGAGATGTGTGGACTTTAGATGACTGGACTGACTGGGCGTTGAGCTTTAAGGTCGTTGTCGCGTTTCTACGGCGGCCTCATGTCCACCAATGTGCTTTCTAGGGGTGAATGGTCTAAATCAGACTAAATCTTTGTCAAAAGTCATACCCAACACATCATACAATCCAGAACGCTAGGCGATAAGTTGCACCTGCCCTTTCAACCGTACCAAAAGAGCAAAAGGATCAGGTCCCCAGGCATTTGGCCACCCGAGGATTGCCACTCTGATCGACTTCATCCTGAAGGTCTTGCAGGCTGCAGGGGCCCTCTTTGGCACCGCACGGGAGGAGTCCTTGATGGGTTTTCCTGTGCCAAGGATCAGGGATGCTTCAAGGTGATGGTTGAGAAGCATACTTCCATGTAACTTCAAAATGGGGGCCTCTCAAAACAGAAGATCGGAAGGGTCTTCCTAAATCATCCAAAACTGGGCATCTTTTATTGGGGAACCAATGGTATTGTTGGCACTTAAGTGTTTTAAAAACCATGTGTGGAGGGGGAAGCGCCCATATTAGTCGGAAAAGTTGCCATGGAAGCTGAAGATCAAGTCATCACTCTCCATCCGCAGGACGAGGATCCCTTGCTGGATACTGTGCAGGAATGATGAAAAAATGGGAGCAGATGGGCTGAGGGATGTTCAGGGCACAATTTGGGAGAACAATGGAGAACAGTTGCAGTTTTTGGCCAACACCTGAGTCGAACAGAGACCAAAATAAACCAACATAAACCAAAACCAACCTGCAATTCCCTTTGGACTTGTGCTTCATGTGCTTTGGCAAGCTGGCTCAAACAGATTTTTTCGCTTTCATTTCGTGGCGACCTGTTCCTGTTTAAAGACGAGCGGCATCAACCCACAGCGTTGATGATGAGCCGGGCAGCCAAAGGATTGCGACATGTAGTGCCTTGTTTTCTGCATTTGGAAAGTTTTGCGATTCCTCCAGGTTTCCAAATGTTTTCACTTGGAATCCTCTCCGTGAATTCTTGTGAGCAATTCCTTCTTCGAATTAGACTCAACACAACTGATCCCAGAAAATGATGAAAATGCGCTGAGAGAGCGCTCCAAACAATGATCAGATTTTGCCCAAAAGATCCCCAAAGATCCCAAAGACAGCCAGCGTCAGCGAGGTGATGATTGGCGTGAAGGAAACCACCAGCAACGAGCAGATCCTGGCAGTGAAAGAAGGCCTCGCTGCGTTGAAGGACACCTGCGGTATTTTGGAATTTGAGTTTCTTGCCTTGGTGTCGCAGGGTGTACAGGCTGTACCGCCATAGTACCCCACAGTGAACTTTTTTTGGACCCTCAAAAAATGGGCAAAGGTATTCAACGCAAATCAAACATAATACATGAAAAAACGTGTAAGCCCCAATGTAGCGCCATTTCATGGCCTTTTGGAGGGTCTATCGGTTTATCCAACTTTTTTTCGGACGACCCGACCATAATCCCAGATCCAAGGTTCGGCACGGACTTGAAGCTGCCAAGTGGGCAAAGTCATCCAGCTGGGAAGAATCGGACCTGCACTTGGTACGCGGACTTCCCTTCGATGGAAGCCTATGAGGTGCCGAAAATATCGGATCTCGATTTTTTTTCCAATGGGGAAGCGGCCACTGGGCCAGAAGATAGGTCATTCTGAGTCTTAGTTTGAGTATTGAGTATTTCACGATCTGTTTTGCGAGGGCAAGCTTCTGTTGGGTGAGACATTCGCAAACAATGACTTTCCGAACAGAAAACGTTCGCCTCTTGGGGCGGATGAGGCCTACGCGGCTCACCCTGAGCATGTCAAGGTGATTAATGACCTGATCAAACCCATCATGGAGCCCGGAAGTAGGGCGGCCATCCAATACGAACGCTGATCGCGGTCAGATGGATGTCCTCCTGGGATGGACACCTAGCAATCAATGTGTTTGAATAGTTTGCCGTCATAGGCTTGAAATATTTGCAGGCACCTAAGAGTGCCGAGATGTGCCACCTGCGTAGAAGCGCAGAGATACTGACAACGAATCTATGGTTTATGTCACATGCACCTGCCTTTATACTGCACAAGTCATTGTCAAGGAAAGTAATATTCATGTGGTTTCGGCACGTCATAGTCTTCAAGCTGTGCAAGCTGTGCACAGAAAAGTTGATAGTTGAGACCATGGTTCCCAGGATACCCTTCCAGGGATACTGGAACAGAAGCTGGCGCAGGACAAAAGTGCAACGGTAGTGTTCAATGCTTGGTCTGTTGGCTAGTGAACCATGATGAACCATGTGTATTTGGCAAATCGAGATGCTTCATATCCACGTTTGCAATCTGTTTCAAACATCACACACACACACTCTCTCTCTCTCACACACAGAATTCATATAATTATATAATGATATATAGTATATATCATTATATATCTCCATTCGCATCCCTCCCTATCCAGCATTTGAAAAGCGAGAAGATCACAAACGCTGCAGAGGTACTCTCCAGGGCCTTAGGCGCAAGGTCTTTGGTCGAACCATTCTGGTGGTCATTGCCCAAGGGAATCAGAGTCTTTGATGATCATAATTGGGTGAAGGGTTTGCCGCCACACGCACACTGGTGGCAGAGGAGTATGCAGTGGCTTTTTGATGCTTTTTGGAATTCAAGATTCATGGATATTCAATGATATTCATGGCCCCATATGGAGCCATATGGCCCCCTATTTACCCTCTGGTAAACTAACATAGCTATGGAAAATCACTATTTTTAATGGGTAACTCCACTATTTCTATGGCCATTTTCAATAGCTCAAAACCAGCTCCGCCAGCTCCGTCGCTTCGCCGTGCCAAACGCCATGGTGCTGCCTGAAGGCATCGAATCGGATCGGCAGCTGGACACGCTCCGATTGGCCGAGATCTGGCGGCGTTTTTTAGCCGGCTGAACGAGAAATTGTTGTGGCCAGTCAGGTAAAGTAAATAGATAAAAGATATTGTACAGTATATTATGTATATTATGTATTTAGAAATGTGTATATACAGTTGTATACATGTATAATCATATGTATATATCTGTGTGAATAGAATACTATATACTTGTGTTTTGCCTATGCAAATTGCATCAACGTTGGGATCCCCGCATCACAATCCATGGCGCAATGGCGCCTCGCATCGAGGTGAAGAATCTCCAGGATCTTGGTGAGAAGCTGAAGGACAAGTTGCAGGCCTGAATGCCCATTGTTTGTTAATGTTAATGCGCCAGTTGATTGTTACATATCATATGGATACATATGGTTACTGTACTTGGATGAAATATTAGGAAAGTTCGGAGAAAGTACATGATACGTATATCGCTATACATCTTCATATGTTTATATATACGTAATCGATCAACGATACTTCTCCACCAGGAGCTTCCACAGTCAGCCAAGGGTGGCCGAAGCTTTAGCCCCGCCTCCGTGAGCTTCCAAGGCACCACGCGCAAAGTCCTTCATTCAGGACATCGTGAGGAGTTTGGATCCAGAAACGCTCCGTGGTTTTGAAATGGGGGGAGAACAAATGACAGTGGGTGGGCTGAGTCTTAACAGCACAGGTGAGAAGTTTTCGAAAGAATCCTTCTGGTAACTTCAGAATATTTATTTAATTTAATGCATCCCACTGCGCGATGGTGTAGTGAATCAACTTGGAGTAGAAACCACTTAGAGACACTCAGAGATTCAATGGTAGCAGGGACAACATTTTCCATCATTTTCCATCATTTTCCATCATTTTCCATCATTTTCCATCATTTTCCATCAGGAATCCTGCTGGATATCGCATTTGCCAAGACGAATTGGTCCGTTTGGGAGGTGCGATCCTGGTGCAGCTCCTGGGATCCTGGGACGAAAAAGTTGGGAGGTGAAATTTTCCCATGCGCCAGGTGCCTCGGCCTTAATTGAAACCGTGGGAAAAGTGAACAGCGAGACTTGGCGAGGGCTTGGGCTTGGGCAGTTGGGATCCCTGTCAATTAATGATCATTCATAGTGAAAGCATGGGAAAGCGGGGTAGAAGATGGTTGAAGAACATTGACAACCTCCACACCCTTGAGAACAGCTAGGTTTGCAACATATTCTTGCACAGAAAAATGAAATTCTAGTTTTGCATTATGCCACAGTTTTGCCATTGAGTATATGCACTGCCCAATCTGCCCACCAGCCATTTGCTAGCTTGGCCTTTGGCTCAGGACCTTGTACGAAGCTTGGCGCTGGAAGCCTTGGCACGGATGATGCGTCTTGGCAGCCCCTGGAATTGCCTACATTTTCTCACATGAAATCCCTATCCAAAATTTGACGCCCAAATTTGGGTCTTGCATTTCAGGTTTGGAAATGCCAAAGTTGCTGAAGCTGTTCTGCAGAGCTGCGAGCTCCTTCCCATGATGAGGCCAGGGCGGGATTCCGCACCTTCAATGCCCATATTTGAGCTCCTTTGAATTTGCACATGCGTTTCATTGAAGGTGCGTTTCAATGTGCAACAGTTGCTCACTCCAGGATGGTGTTCTCCAATGGCTCCGCGCCAGAGCAGCTCACGGCATTGCAATTGGCACAGGTCATGGCAGCATCAGAAGTGGACCAAAGCCATGCCTTTGCGTTGTTGCAAGAGGCCAAGGGGTTTCTGCAGGAGCCGGGGAGCACAGTGGCACTTGGAAGCCAGTGGCTGCTGAATGTTGATGGTAATACAACAATATAATATAGTCTATACAATATAACGCGCACACACACACACATATATATATATATATATATGCTGTCACACTGCAAGCATCGGGGATGGGTATAAAAACAGGATACCTCACTTTCTAAGTAGGGGACCTACTGCAAGACACAACGTTATATATACATATACATATATATATATAATAAAATTATATATATATGCAACGTTTTATGTGTATATATATATATATGTGTACATATACATTTTATCCTCAACTAAATCGGATCAGGAGGCAGATTGCAAGGCTTGGTGATTTTTGTGCCTTATTCGTACCGTTCAGAATCGGTCGCAAGGACAACAAGGGCTTTGCTCCGATGTCTCAAGCAGCACTTGAAGTGTTTGTGTCAATATCCTTCTCACACCCAGTGGAAGTGCTTCTTAGCTGAGCTTTGGAGACATGTTTGACTTTGCATATCATCTAATGTGCTTTGTTCAGTCACGCTCCGCTCTTTCTCTTGGGACATTGTGGCTTGTCTCAGCCTCACACCAAGTAATTCTTTGCTGAGGATCTCCTGTCTTGGATGCGCTCGTATCAAGCAACTCTTTAGTGAGCAGGAGGACAAGCTGCAGGCAACAGCCTGACGCACAGCATTTTGATCGGAAAGTCAAGTCACCAATTTGAAGGAATCTTGATGATTCTTGCTTTAAACAACTGACAGAAACTGTCAGCAACTGATTTTCATCAATGGGTTTCTAGACTCGACTCTATTTCCTTTTGGCACGAGATACTTGTGTGATGGGGTCACCAAGGCGTTTCTGGGTCAAAGTCATAGGACACGCCAAGATCTCGTGATGTTTTCTTTTGGTGCAACCCCAAGTGATGAAGATGGCAAGGTGGGTTCTTGTGATGATTTGCATAAACATATGAAAACATGAGTTTGATGATTTTGTCCAGGCTTAAACCTACCACATCCGTCCAGATCCATCAACAGCCTTGCTACCATTGCCTGTTTGCTGCGTTCGCCTTGGGCTGCCAGGCTTTCGTTTGTGGCTTGTTGGTGTCGAACTGCCTGGGTTATTTGGAAGAGTCGGAGGCCCATGCCGCCCGCACGCAGTTGATCTGGGGATACTGTTTTGTTGGGACAATGCATCTGTTTCTATAAAATGTATGGAGGTGGATGAGTGAAATCCTTATTCTATAAAATGTATGGAGGTGGATGAGTGAAATCCTTACTATCTGCCTGGTTGTTTTTGTCCGTTGGGTGAGTTTGTGGGCTTTGAGGCTTCAGAATGTTGTGTGTGTGTGTCTGTGTGTGTGTGTCACTCGTGTTTTCGTCCTGCTTAGAACGCATTCCCCCCTGGCTCGTGCTAAGGAGTTGCGCGAGAGCTTGCTCTCGGGCACATTCTTGGAAAACTATGCCGCTGGGGCTTGCCACGAGACACTTTTGGAGATATTTCATTGCACCTGTGGATGGCATAGTCATCGGATGGCACTAGCATTTTTTTCCAAAGAGTTGGAGCATTTTCCAGCCTTTTCTCTACCTAGATATACCTAGATTGTTGTTCTAATATGGCACATGGAGATGCGCTAGTTCACCTCCAGGTGCAGTGTTTGCAAGCCTCCTTCCAAAAGTGCGACTGGCCTGCTGCTAGCCTGCAGTAGATGCTGTTTAAGCTAAGAGGCTTAGAGGGTGTCATGACTTTGGCAGCCCTTTGCCACCGTCTTACCACCCTTGCCTCCAAGCGCGGCTGAGGAAAACTCCAATGCCTTCCACTCGCCTGGACGCTTAGCCATTGTTGCGCAGGCTTTGGCGGCACAAGGTGGGTTGATTGCTGGTGGGTTCCAGCTTGACAAAATGAATATGTTTGACATTGTTTGACAAATATTCGCGAGCTCAACCCAGGATGCACATCTCACGTGCATGTCACCGCGTCAAGCCCTAGTGAATGTCGAAAAAATGACACGAGCAAAACGAGCATGACTTGAAGGTGCACCAAAACGAGTATGACTTGGGAGGGCAGGGGGCACCTGGAAGGCCTGGGCCGGCACTTGCTGCCAGCAGTGCCCTTGCTGGTACAAGCTGTGGAGGTGAGGATGGGATGGCTGCGGCCCAGTGGGACTCCTCCTTGAGGAAGGGGTGGAGTTTCAATCGTATATGAGGCAATATCAGATGCCGTGGGATATAGACTATAGATGTAATTAGATATAAAATGATATGGGAGCTGAGAGCTCATATAAGTATAAGATGCAGACATAGAATGAATTAGATGGATGCACGGATGCACGGATGCATGGATGCATGGATGCATGGATGCATGGATGCATGGATGCATCGATACACTCAACATTGTTGCCTTTGATCTTGTTTATGAATGTTTATGATGCATTTCAACCCCAAGCCGCCAGTGCGACGATGCAGTGCCCACCCTGCTGGTGACCTTGAAAATCCTGGCGGCGGATCCCCGGTGCTTACAGATCTTGCTGGCCGAGGCCCCATGGTTCGCTATGGCTTCAAAGATTCCAATTTTAATGGGGAAAAAAGATGACCGTGGTGATGATCCATGCGAATTGGGGGGGTATTCCATTTTCAGACAAAGCCAGGTAAATCCATTTATTTTAGTTGTATACTTCTGAGGCTCAAGTCCGCATCATGTGTGTGTTCAATTTCCAACCATTCACAGTACCTTTGTGGTAAGTGTATGGGATGCGAAAAACGAAATCCGCTACGTGTCACTACGTCATATTTGGCAATGGTTCTGTTTCTGTGGCGATGGGCAAACCTGTTGGGAGTGAGCCGGCTATGAACAACTCCTCGATTGGACTTTTGACATGGGCAGGAATCGATGGAACGGTTGAAAGAAAGATACAGGACACCATGGAGTTTTTCATGATTCTTTCCCTTAAGAATCCTTAAACACATGGTGCTTCCTGCAGATTTTCCTTCAAACCAATTGTGCGCAGGAATCCTTTCGGCAAAACTTGGACTCCATGCATGACAGCGGCGATGCCCTCGCCACAGAACTTTTGGGATATATGGAGCTGGTGGAGAGCCGTGGCTGGGTTGTGACCAACCTCGCCGAATGTTGACGGTGAACTGTTGGTATACCCTTCTATAGCTCCATTTAAAGCTTAACAAATTATTACTACTATTCATTTTTGTGGCCACGGTGGATCATAAACCACAGAATTGATGAACAGCTCGTCATCCTTTGTGAAATTGAACAACATGGAACAACCCTGTAACTAAGAGTTGTCATGATTTGAACCATGTTTCACCATGGTTTCCTGTGTTTTTCCCTGGTTTTTCCATGGTTTTTCTAGCCTATGTACATCCATGAGCCATCCCGGTGAAGCCGGAAATTCTGGGCCAGCGCCCAGGAGCGCCCTGGCAGCTGGCCAGGCGGCCAAGTCTGCACAAGCACAGGAGAATCCCAATGCGCCAGAGGTGATGCAACTGGCAGTGACCTGGACATTGGATCGTTACCTATTGTGTCACTAGTAAACCATGAGTACCCCCCAAAAAGATGACTTGATTCACTTGATATTATATTGAAATTGATACTTGTCCATGATTTTAGTAGGATTTGACTTTGCGATCTTTTTTTTGCGTGTTAGAAGCTATACGAAGTTGTTCAAGGAGTTTGCTGGGACCGTTAGGGTGTGTCTGAAAATGGGGGTAGATCCCAATATTGGCATGCTAGTCGGGAAAATTATGGTAATGAACGGGACTTTAGGGATAGTTTAGGGTACCCCATTTTGGCTCCTTATTTTCAGACCAACCAATCTGGGACCTGCCTAAGGGAAGGGGTCCTTTTTTCATTTTTCCAATTGTTGGAGGTGTTGAAGGCTAGGATAGGCGAGGATGGAAACCCGTTTGCGTTATCCATTTGGGGATAGGTTTAGACCTTTTATGCCATCTCTGGGGGATGACCAGCCATAACCATGGCCATGATCACATCAAGGGTGGGAACAGCATCAAACCTACGTCATTCCATGGCTCAAGCTGCAGCTCCTTGATGGTGGTTCCACGGCGACGACGGGCTGCAAGCCAGGGATAAAATCTTTTGGATGTTTTTGGAAGTTGCAGAAGTGGACACTTGGATGTCATAAATGTCACATTTTTGTTGAAACAAAAAGCAGCACAGCGTATTTTTGTGCTGAACAATTTGACAAGCCAGGGGTTGGTGGGTGGAATGTTGCCTATCAACCTGGCCATTTTGGCTCAAGGGCCAGGCCATTTGTAACATTTTCTTTGTTTTTTCAATGCGGTGCTTCGCGCGCCATGGCCTGGCCTACCAATTTGGCATCTTTTGGGTCGCTGCGGGAGTGTCGGACGTTCTTTGGGATCTCCGACGACCTGTGGGCGGCATTCACTCAGGTGATCGGGGACCCGATGGACGATTCGAGGATTTTGGCCGCGCTCCCACCTTCGATCATCCAAGCCGCCATCGAGACGACGGTTTTGGACAGCGGCGACCCCATCTCATTGGTGCAGGCCGCGCAGTTGGGGTTGGTCTACCGGCTGGCGAAGCGGAAGCAACATGTGGACGCTGGCCTGGACTTGACGTTTTGGATCGATCCAGATCCTTGGGGTACACCTACGGGAGCACCTGCACAACAAGCGGCGGACACCGTGAATCAGACGAAGGCCCCCGAGAGGAAATTGAAGTTTGTCAGCATTCTGGATCAGGCAGACGAGTCAGAATTCATGGTGGCGAGCGAGATGCAGAAGCAGGTGTGGTTGCAGACGTATGTCAACCTGACAGGCGACCTACCCATGGAGCAGGAGGAGCCCACGACGGAGCAACTATCGGCATTGCACAGAAGGTTGACTTCGAAGCAGTGCCCCTATGCCGACTTTGCAGTTTTCCTCCCCTTTGGAAGGAAGGCGCGTCGAGCTCAGAAATACAGGACCTACGTCATGACTCCGAATGGCTTCTACACGAAGGAACTGCCGGGGCCCAGTGGCATAGACCAGTGGCGAGCTTCGTTCAGGGTCTATCGCACTGCACTGCTGATGCTGCAGGCCATCACAATGTCGACAGCAGTGGCGTACGAGGCCTTCATAGAAAAGATGGACCGCCTGTACAAGGGCTGCTGGCACCTCATCGTGCAGGCCGACGAGCTGGCGAGGTCGGAGCACATGCTCAGACTGAAGGTGTCAACAGAGATGGACATCTCCATGGGCGGGAAGGTGCCGGCGATGTGGAACGTGGACAATCCCTGGGAGGCCCTGTTCAGGAGACTTCTCAAGGATTCCGACTTCTGGGCCGAGCAGGTTCATCTGCCAGCCAATGCATGGTTGGCGCATGGCTCGAAGGGCAAGCTCCTCACACCGTCGGAGGCCATTGCGGAGTCCAGCATTCAAGGGGGCTCTGCGGTGCTGAAGCCAGACGTGGAGGGGACGAGGAACACCCAAGAGCCATGGAAGAAGTCGGCAAACGCCAGACGAAAGGAAGCCAAGAAAAGAAAATGGCAAGAAGCGGAGGAGAAGAACACCGGCACGAAGGGAAAAGGGAAAGGAAAAGGAAAAGGGAAGGCCCCAGCATGCTATGCTTGGAACAACAACAATGGGGCCTGTGCTGGACTCCCTCCAGGATCTGCCTGCCGAGGAAACGTCGTAAGAGAGCACAGATGCACGGCCTGTGGCTCTCCTGGACACCCTTCACATCAATGCTCACAGAAAGAAGGCTGATCGTGGAGCTCAAGATGGATTGGAGGAAGTCTGAACGACGCCACGGCGGAACTCAGGGCGGCTTTCATGTGCCCTACTTCGCATGGGGGACATCCAGATCCAGGGGAAGGGAAGACAAGGCCGACGAGAAGAAGGACGACGAGAAGAAGGAAGACAAACAGAGCCCACAGAAGAGACGCCGAACGACCAAGGACCCAGACAACGATGATGAGCCCAAGGCCGAGTTCAACGGCAAGCTCATGACTGTGGACCTCTACACAATGAAGCGGAGGTTCAACTTCCTTCACATGTACGCGGGCAAGAAGGATCCTTTGGGAGAAGCCATCAAGAGACAAGCAAAATCCCACAGGATGAAGGTAACAGTCATCTCCTGCGAGAAAGAAAACGGCGTCGACCTCCTGGCTGAAGAACCTTACCTGGAGTTCTTGAACAAGGCGAAGGAAGGCTTTTGGGATGGGATGCATTCAGGATTTCCATGTACTTCCTTCTCAAGATTGCGGTGGCGGGAGGCGAAGGGTTATCCTGGACCTGTTCGGTCGAAAAAGCATCCTTATGGAATACCGGGTATTCCAAAACATCGGCAACAAGAAGCTGACGAAGGGACATTGCATGCGTCGAGATCGGCGCACATGGCTGACCGGATCATCTCCTCCAGGCCAGAAGATAGATTGAGGCCCTTCGCGACTCTTGAAAATCCTCCCCCAACTGACCACGGCGAACACCTGTCAGCGTGGGAGTTGCCGGAGATTGCAAACCTGTTCGAGAAGTATGAACAAGACTTCATCCTGGCGGAGTTCCCCACCTGCATCTACCAGCCCCACCTGGACTTTGGACTGAGGACGTTCAAGCCCCAGATGTTTGGAGGGACGTTACCGGGCCTTTCTTCGTTGAGGGGCAAGTGCAGGTGTGGTGACGAACCTCATGTGCCGGTGGTGGGAAAGGAGCGATCGGCGGCCTCGGGGGAATATCCGGAGGACCTGTGCAACGTCTATGCCAGGCTGGTCATCAGGCAATTTCAGAGGATGGCCAAAGCAGAGTTCTTCACCAAGAGACAGGAGGACCTTAGAAAGGAGGTGGATGAACTCAAGAAAAGAACAGAGGCGCAGGCGAGGGGAAGATCGAGGTCAGCACGAAGGGAGAAGACAAAGGAAGAAGATCCTGATGGAGTGGCCAAAGAGGAGGACACAATCAGGACAACTGCTTCATCAAAATCGAAAAGCAAAGCCAAGATCAAGCAGGACGCAGACGAGTACGAGTACACGTACGAGTACGAGTCCTCCGAGGAGGTGAAGGCAGCTGAGGGAGAGAAAGACAAAAGCGAGCTCTCCCCCAAGGGCGCCAAGAAGGTTAAAGTTGAGAGAGACAGAGATTGGAAGGGAGGAACGGGAAAGTTTGGGATGCTAGGTGAATCAAAAGCCAAAAGGGAAGACCCCAGAAACCTGAACTTCCTGGGGGGCATGCGCAACCCAGCCGAAGTGGTGGAAGGTATGCCCAACGCCTTAAGTTTGGGTTTGAGGATCTTCGCGGCGTGGGAACGATTCATCAAGTCGAACCCATCGACGTTGGAGACAGCCGCCGCCTACGGCACGGAGGGCTGCGACCTCGATGAGAAGGCTCTGGACAGGTGGCGAGCCGAGCTGCGAAAGGCGGTGGGAGCCAAAGGGAAGATGAAGGCACAATTGAAGTCGAAGTGGACCTTCACATCGCCCATACATGGCGACATCCTCGAAGCCTGGACCTCGAAGGCGGCGGACCCCGACACCGAAGTGGCCAAGTGGGTGACCGAAGGAACCCCACTGGGCATCAATTGTGACATCAAGAGCAAGGGCATCTTCCCACCATCTGACAGAGACGCAGAACAGGAATCCATGGTTGACGCGGCGATGCAGATGGCCAGGGGATCCCTGGTAAACTACACGTCGGTGATGGAGAACAAGGAGGACACGAAGGTGGAAGTGGATAGACTGGAACGGCTGGGCTTCTTGAAGAAGATCGATGGTAAGACAGTAAGGGATGAATTCTCCCAGGGCACCATCTCAAAGTTGGCGATTATCATCAAGGAGAGGCCCGACAAAACCAAGAAACGGAGGCTGATAATCGACTTGAGGAGGTCGGGAGGAAACTCCAAAGCCCGACTTGAAGAAAGGCTGGTGCTCCCGAGGGCGATGGATGCAGTGGCCATGATGCGCACCATGTCGAAGTTGCAAGAGGCGCCATCAGCCGCAGAACAAAGGGAGATGTGGAAGAGGGAGATGGTGCTGATCGACGTCGCAGATGCCTTCCCTCACCTGGCAGTGCACCATCAGGAGCTCGAGCACTGCGTCACCCCGGGCCTTCACGAAGGGGAGTTCTTCCTGTTCAGGGCTCTGCTCTTTGGCTACAAGACGGCACCATTGCTGTGGTCCCGGGTTGCCGCTTGGTTGGGACGAATGATACAAGCGTGCGTGCCATTACACGAGGGAAGGCACCAGATCTACCTGGACGACTCCTTGTGGCTCCTGCAGGGAACGCTACAGAGGAGGACCGAAGTCCTAGCATTTGTGCTCTACACGATGGCAGCTTTGGGATTCAACCTCTCTATAAGGAAGGGAGAGAGAGGATCAAGGGTGACCTGGTCAGGAATTGAATTCCACCTGGGCGACAACCACGTGTTGCTGACCTTGCCGGAGAAGTTCATCAACGACCTCCAGGAGAAAGTGAAGGCGTGGGATTCCAAAGGAATGGCTTCCCTTAAGGAGTTGAGAGCCATCTGTGGGAAGCTCTCGTGGTTGGCAGGGGTACTGCCCAGGACCCGCTGGATGCTCCGTGTCTTCTACGCGGTATTAGCGGGAAGAGAGGCCGAAGTGAAACAGGGCTTGGAAGAGAGCAGGAGGAAAGCCCGCGAGGACACCAGGTCCAAAGAACACTTGTTTGTGGTCAAGCGTTTGGAAGGGGCAAGGCAAGCGTTGATTGAGTACCTCAGCGTGACGAAGGAGAGGCCGACAAGGAAGATCTCTTTGACAACAAGAGACAAGGCGAAGGTGACCATCACGACGGACGCGTCACCCGAAGGGTTAGGAGCCGTCCTGATCGTGAACTCCCAGGTCATCGATGCCATTTCATCCCCAGTGACAGAGCAGGATGCGAAGGACCTGGGGTTTGAATTAGGGTCCTCCGCGTCTCAAGGAGAAACAAAATGGCGGGCATGGCGGTGGAGCTGACCATACAGGCCGATTCAGTGACGGCGCTAGCGATGGCGCAGAAGCAGTCAGCAGCCTCCCCAGCCATCAACTTCCTGGGAGCGACCTTGGGCATCCTGCTGGAAAAGGCCAAGGTGGAGGAGATGAAGCTCGTGCACATCCCAGGAGCGGCTAATAAGACCGCCGACTACCTGAGCAGACCTTCAAAATGGAAGGGGAACCATGGCCGCCGGAACTTGGTGATGTAAAGGTGACCGAGGTGGGGCCTAGGGGTCAAGATTTCTACCAGTTGGCACCACCTGGACGCAAACCGGACTTGTGGGGAGCCTCTGAAGGCGAGGAAGGTCTCGGACCCTGGTACTCACTTTTCAAATGACATGTGAAAAGGAGCAAAGCCAGGGTGAGACGTTTTGAAGTTAAGGAAACTTAGGAGGAAAGGGAACCCGACTTGACTTGTTTTGCTGTCTTTTTCTCCCCGCCTCCTTACTTGTTTTGTTCAGTTTGGCAAATAAAAAGGTGTCCGTCTGCAGACGCTGGTTCAAAATGGATGCCACCAGCTCGAACTTAGGCCTCGCAATCCAATGGCTAGCCCTGACGGGCCTGGCGGTGCACCTGTGGGCCTTGGGATGGGGCTTATGGGCCTGTTGCAGGCGAAGAGAGGTGTGTCCTTTCGCCCCATCAACGAGGGTGGAGGCGGGACGAATGTGGGCCTGGAGGCAACAACACCCGCGAGCTCCCTCACCTCCTTGCTACGAAGGCCCGCGGCGGCGCCAGAGCGGTGGTCAGGGTCTGGCGGGCCTGATACGTCGGCAAGACCCAGCACCAGACAACGTGGTCGTGAAGGGCAAGAAGGGCTCGAAGGGACAGAAGGGAGCAGGCCGTTAAAACGACCAAAATCCTTTGCTGAACTACGAAATAAGGGTTCCACCAACAACAGCAATGCTACGTTCGGCAGACTCAAGAGGGAATCTTTCACCGTGACCTATCCCGAGGAAGAAGAATCAGCTTTCCCTCTTGCAGGCGGTGACGAAGGTGTGGGGCCCAGCCCATTCAAGGACCTAGAGTTCGAAGCGGGGGGCCTTCCTGTGGCTTCGGATAGCGGGAGAACTTCAGAATCGGCATTTAACTCCATGGTCAAGATGGCAAACGACACCGCGGCAAAAGCAAAGGAGAAGCTTGCTGCAGTGGTGGAGTTTTGGAGTCCGAAAAGGGCGAAACATGCAGATCCCCATCTACCCGAAGGTTTGTGGAATGACAACAAAGAGCACCAACTTGAAAGGTGCCCACTGGGAGCCTCCGGCAAAGCGCAGGGGAAAGACCGCAAGTCCAAGAAGCAAAAGGCGGCCAACATACTTGCCATCGCCCGGAGGGCCTCGATGTCGAGATCCACTACCACGGCCCTTGAAAGAGACTTTGCGTCGGTCACGTCCGTGAAAAGCAAGAAAGCCATCAGGAACACCGTCAACAGCGTTTTCAAGGAAGCGAGAGGTTCCTCCGGATTGCCCCCAACACCAGACAAAATCAAGCTGCTGGGGGGAATTTTGAAAGCGGCAGGCTACAGGGCCGCGGGAAACTACTTGGGGGAATACAAACTGATGGCGATCGAAGGGGGTCACAGTTGGTCAGATCAATTGGAAAGAACCCTGAAGCTCACAAAGAGATCTTCAGCGAGAGCCGTCGGCCCCAAAAAGAAAGCGGCCGAGGTGGAGACATGCGAGGCGGGCGAGAGCTTCGCAGTGAAGGTCTCCTCAAAAGCGCCCAAGCGGGTCCCATTAGCGGCGGAGCTCTTTGAGTTTGGAGTCATCTGGATGCTCAGGGAAGTCGAACTAGCCGCCATCAAAAAGGACCACATCCTCCTTGACCTGTCCTTGACTTCCAGAACAAGAAGGTTACCTTCACCTTGCCCGTTTCGAAGGGAGACCAAGAAGCATTGCAAGTCAAGAGAGTGCTCCAGTGCCTTTGTGGGAGGAACATTTGCTTTATGAGCTGCCCCTTCTACACGTCGGTGAGGCTGCTGGATCGCATGAGAGCTTTGGGGTTGAGCCGAGCGTGCATGAACCAGAAAGCAAAGCTCGCTTCCAAAGCACAACTGGTCGACGACTGGAGGCTTTTGTACGGCTCGATGGTTTCGGGACACTCAGCCAGAAGAACTGGGGCCCTGAGGTACATTAGACAGGGCTGGGCGATAGCACAAGTGGCATACCTGGGCAGATGGAAATCGTCCGTCATCTACGAGTACGCGGCAGAAGCCCTGGAATCACTCCCCGTGAACGTTGGCGAGACGTTCGGAGCCAAAAGGGAACTGACTGACGCAGGGCCCACGACCAGCAGCTTTGTGGGAGTGTCGAAGGAAGACATCGAAGGGATCAAGAACTATCTGCTTGCAGAGCTGGAGGCGGCGAAGGTAAACCAGGAGCAAGCATTGCAAAACCTAGACAAGGAAGTGGACGAACTTCGGGCCAGGGACATCAGACTGGGAAACAAACTGCCCCCAGCAGTGCAATCCTTGCCAAGCAAGGTCGTCCACTACAACATGGACATCGCAAGCTGCAGCCCACCGAGAGCTTGGAGGACGGTGTGCGGATGGCATTACCACCGTTCCGATTTTGTCTTCGTCACGAAGGTGGATGGGCTGCACTTATGCAGAAAATGTTGGGACCTCGCGCGCGGCAATGGAGTGAGAGATGGCGAGGGTCCCAGCAGAAGCCAGCCTGGAAGAAAGGGGCCAAACTGACCTCTGAGTTTGGCAAAGCTGGCTGAAGCTGGTGTCCCTGGCTTTGGATCAAACCTCACCAACGCGGAAAAATAGGTCGCTACCTTTGCTGGTGATTGGTTGCGATGTTGAATTGTTTTGAAACAAAAAGCAGCACAGCGTATTTTTGTGCTGAACAATTTGACAAGCCAGGGGTTGGTGGGTGGAATGTTGCCTATCAACCTGGCCATTTTGGCTCAAGGGCCAGGCCATTTGTAACATTTTCTTTTCCCTCTGCCACCCACCCAGAAAATGAAGGTGGAGTGAGAGATGGCGAGGGTCCCAGCAGAAGCCAGCCTGGAAGAAAGGGGCCAAACTGACCTCTGAGTTTGGCAAAGCTGGCTGAAGCTGGTGTCCCTGGCTTTGGATCAAACCTCACCAACGCGGAAAAATAGGTCGCTACCTTTGCTGGTGATTGGTTGCGATGTTGAATTGTTTTGAAATATGTTGAAGTTCAACCTGTGTCCTGGCCTGCGAACGCTCAGCTTCTAAGCTTGTTTTGGCTTGCATTCGATGCACGTGATATTCTATCCAGCTGACTTGTCACCAACTGCATGCTCAGGAAGATGCATGTTTCGATAGTGGTTCAACTTCCAGTTGAACAATAATGCATATATAAATACGGTATATATATAATTATATATATATACATATGATATGGGTTGTAACATTCCAATCCTTGCTATTCCAGTGGCCTGTATATTTATGGAAAGTTGACCCGTTTTTCCACGTAGGTGAGCAATTGCATCGTAGCTTCCCTCTTCCTCTCCTTGCTGCTGCTGTGCGCTATCTTGGCAATTGGTGGTCTTCCCAAGAAAGCACCACAAGATGCAACGGTGAAGGCTGGCTGTTCACGTGCATCCGCCATTTTTCTGGGAACCTTGACTGCCTGATCTGGGACCTGGGACATCCTCAAACCAACACCTTGGGATGTTTGATGGTGCCTGTGCAGCTCCGATGTGGCTTCCCCTTGACGAAAAACCGGCTTCTGTGAATGGCTTGGACCGAAAGTGCCGAAATTTCTGGGTCATGTCCATGCAGTTCCAAGCATTTCCAAGCAACATTGCCACAGAAATTTCATCACAATTCGCCCAGGAATGGTTTATACCTTCACCTATTTCACAACTGACCAGTATGTGCCAAGTCTACCGCTGATGGGACGGGACCTCTCTGGCTCGCAAAGTATGATGAGCGCGACAGTGCAGATGAACTTCGTGGTGAAAGCGCTGGCAGGTACTCGGGGCGGGGCTAATTACAGGCAAAAATCAACTTATGCACAACTTATGCACAACTTATGCAACTGGTGGGATAATGATGGGACACTTCTGGTTGAAAGTGATTAATGAGTTTGATTAAAATATGGAACTTGATTAAGGATTGCTCCTATAGACGTTGCTTTGGGCCCAACATGCACCCCCAGATGCTGGAAGGCAGCTTCAAGGCAAGCTTGCGATATTCTCAACATCCTTCAAAAGCCTCAAATAACCCCGAATAGATTGAGCATGGGCTTAATGTAGATGTTCAGGATTTCAGCCACTTCTAACCCCTAGATGGCATAAGATAAGACAGGCTATGACAGGCTGAACTTAGCTTTGGCAACAGGTTTGGTGCAGTATCTTTTGAGCCTATGGTACAAAGTAGCCTTGTGTTGGGCCCATGCAGCGCCCAAGAGCCTATCTGGTGTTGGGTCAGAGTGGGCCGAAGTTGGGCCTACAGCTGAGCAGATTGCAACCCTGGTGCTAGGCATCTTCACTGCAGGTCTGTCAGACCGAGTTGGCCGGAGGCCTACTCTTTTGGTATGCATGGTTTTGCTCAGTTTGGCCAGTTTTTGTTGCGGATGCGCTGGCCGAATCGAATGGTTCTTTGCCGCACGCGTCCTCCAGGGGTTTCTTGATGAGCAAATGGCCTACTAGTTTTGAGCCAGCATGTGGAAAGGTTGAAACATCTTAGGTGTGTTTGCTTTTATTCAAGGATTTAGCTGTAGCTGCCCCAAACATGTAAATTGTAATTTTGAGCAGTGGTCCTTGGACATCCTTTCTTTCTTGGCATCTAGGATTTTTTTGGACCAAAGTCTGTTCTTCTTGGGCCACAAGTGTGCTCCTGAGGATGTCTTCGTAGCCAGAGTTGTATCTATTTTCAAAAAGGGGAACACTGACTGACCTGAAAACAGCTGAAAACTATCGCCCCATGTCGTTGCCAAATTTGGTCTATAAAATCTACCCTCTGGTAATTTAACATAGCTATTGAAAAATGGCCATTTATAGTGAGTTTTCCCATGAAAAATGGTGATTTTCCATAGTTATGTTAGTTTACCAGAGGGTACATGGTCATGATTAGAAGACGCATGCAAGACATCGTAGAAGAACACTTCTGTAGTACACAATTTGGATTCCGGCTTTCTCGCAGTACCTCGGCAAACCTCTCAAGCTATATCACCAGAAGATTGCAGAACATAGCTTAGGAACACATGAGGCGTTTATTGACGTTCTTAAAAAATGCTACTCCAAGGCTGTATCTTGTTGATCATGTGAATACAGGTTCCAGATTGTTCTGATGGCTTCAAATACTGCATTTGCGAACAAATTGCTGGCAGAATAGAAGGGGGTTCCAAACAGTTTGGTCTCCACCTGAATCGGCACAAAGTGCTGTTACATTTCCATGAATGGTAATAAGTACCAGTAGTACTGGTACCGCACAAGGCGGTGGCCGAAGTTTCAAAGATAGGAAACCTATGGGAGAGGTTTGGTTGTTGTGATGCATGGATGGCAGAGAGAATCCACTGATGGACCGAATGTGGTTGGAGTTGTCTGTGTACTTTTTGGAGTGGTTGCAGTGGTCACCTCATCCACAACTGCTGGATGTAGTGTGGTGTAGTGTAGGTGGAGTGTAGTTGTAGTTGTAGTGTACTAGTTGCATTGGTTGTGGTAGTTGTAGTGTGCTTTAACCATTTTGACTTGGAAATATAATGTGCTTCGCGCCGCAGCCGCGTGCACTTTTTGATTGTGTCCACTGCCAAAACTGCTCCGGACGTGAGGCGCTTTTACATTTTGACTTTGAAATGCGCTTCGCTCATCTTCGCGCTAGAGCGGGTTGCAATTTTTCATCTCTCATCTCCCCAGATTACCCCGTGCCCTCTGCTTTAGCGAGCCTACTTTGCGACCCTTCGGAGCCACAACACATTGGAAAACACAGTGTTTCGCAACTTTACATTTTCGCCCGCTTTGATCTTCTTTCTTCTGACTTCTTCTCTTCTGACTCTTTCTCTTCTCTTCTCTGCGTCTGTCCATATTGTCGGAAGTTTGACTTCTAAACTTCCTTCGAATAAATCTACAAATGCCAGATAGATTGCCAGAAAGAATGTCAGAAAGAATGTCAGAACACAGGCCTGGTCAAAGTAAATGCCAGATAGAATGCTAGATCAAAATTCAGAATCTATGTCAGATAGAAAGCAGGGGGTAATGTCAGATAAAATGTATGAATATATGTCGAACCACTCGGGTACATGCCTGAGAGTGTGAGAAAGAATGCCAGATGAAATGCCAGAGTATATTTCAGATAGATTGCCCGAAAAAATCAGGTAGAATGTCAGAGTATAATATGCCAGATAGAATGTCAAATAGAATGTCAAATAGAATGTCAAATAGAATGTCGGGGTTTATGCCAGAAAAACTGCCAGCTCAGTCTGGGCACACACGGGCCCGAGCCCCATGGCGAGCACTCAGTCTGGGCACACACGGGGCTGAACACATGCCAGAAAGAACGTCTGATTTTTTGCCAGAATAGAATGTCAGAATAAATGCCAGAAAGGATGTCAGAATACATATATATATATAATATAATTAATATATATATAATATAATTAATAATATTAATATATATATATGAAACATATGATTCCAGATGATATATCAGCAACTATGTTTGAATAAGTTGTCAGGGCCGGGATTGCTCGAAGTAACGTGTTTTTTCCCATCCAGGAGAGCAGAAAAAAAACGACCTGCAATGACTGGGATGGCTGGGGTTTTCATGGGTTTTCCACTTCCCCAAAGGCTCGGCGAGTCAGTGGAACCTGTGGTCTTTGCCATCGTCCGGGATTTCTTCACAGAGGCTGGTTCAACAGAAAGAACATGTGGTCCATTCCCAGCACCATTCGGAGTTTTAGCACTATGAAATCGGGGGATGTATGTAATCAGTATCTGCCATGGTCAAGCTAGATGGATTAGTCACACCCAGTCCTCGGGGAATGGTCACCATCATCCATCTAGGGATTTACTCACTGTAAGGATTCGCGGTGTGGGATGGATGGCCATACCACATATAGAATATTTTAACCATGGCGCATATATGACTGGTTGGGGGTTTCTTGTGGTTTCTTGGATTTTGTGCTTACGCCCGGCTAAAGGTGATGATGTCCCCGATTACTATTTTTAAGGATGCCAATCAGCTTGGTTTGGGGACATAGTTAGTTTGCTGTGTGTGTCTGGGTGGTGCTGGGGGCCACTGGGGTGCAAAGTTTGAAGTGCCCTAAGACGGTGCAAAAAGAATGTGATGAACCCAAGAACCACACACACAATCTGACCAGAAATGCCCACATGG